AGGAATGCACAGGAACGGAGTTCCGGCTGGCTCCCAAGTTGGTCATGCCCATCAGGAACTCATTAGCATAATAAGCCACACCCAACATCAGAAACTCATTAGGATTGGCTACATTAGGGGTGTGTGGCCTAACATGCAAAGGGGTTCCTGCTACAAAAAAAGGCCCTGGGTTTTGACAACAAACAAGGTAAACAGAATAAGAAGCAAAAGGTGGGTATGACTGGATAACCACACTTCTGGTAACATGGGGGTGCGGCCTAATGTGCTAATGAGCTGTGCTGTCAGGGGTGTGGCCTATTATGCTAATGAGTTCCTGCTGGGCTTTTTCTACAAAAAGAGCCCTGTAAGACTGTAACCATGGGGCCGCCACTGAAAAGGCCCTCTCTTGGGTAACTACCAGATAGGGCCTCCAGGTGGGACCTGAGGATGCCCTGGAAGTACAGCTTGTCTCCAGACTGCCGAGATCAGTTCCCCAGGAGAAAAGGGATGCTTTGGAGGGTGGTCTCTCTGGCACTGTACCCTGCTGAGGTCCCTGTCCTCTCCAGGCTCCACCCCCAAATCTCCAGGAGTTTCCTAACCTGGATCTAGCACCCCTGTCCAATGCTCCCTCTAAGCTGTGGAGTCTTGTGAGCAAAAATTCTACTTTGTGAGTTACTGGAATTAAAGTTGTGAGCGAGCAATTTGGCCGCTGCATGAATTAGTTTGTTTTGGAGCCCTCCTTCCTGAGTTAATACAAAAACCTGTGAGCTGGAGGCTAAAAAAAATGTGAGCCAGCTTACGCTGACTCAGCTTAGAGGGAACACTGCCCCTGTCCCCCCATCGTTGGCCGGGGGGACCTAGCAACCCTACCACTGGATGAGCTTCTCTGGTTGAGAATACAGTCAAGAGGGCCTTTCCCTGTGACCTTAGTTCCCAGGCAGGAACCTTTTTTCCATGGTGGAGCAAACAGGCATCCAACAGACGGGGTGGGTGGGAGGTGTTGTAGGTGAAAAGCCTAGGTGAGGGGAAGGCTAAGTGCCCTTCTCCCTACACCCTTGCTGGAAAGCAGCCCTTCCTCTGCTGTCTTGTATCTGTGGGGGGAGGGTACTATGTATGCCACCCGGAGCTCCTTAGAGAATGATCGGGAGAAAACCTAATAATAAAACTGCAAGGATAGGCTTCTGCCCGCCGGTGTGTCCTAGTTTGCAAACAGCTGTTCATTCCCCTCGCAGGTAGAAACTGCGGGAGCTATTTGGGGAAATGGCCGGTTCTTACTACGTGACTCGTTGTTCAAATGATTTATTTTAGTGTCTGATGGTGAACACACGACTCCTGAAATGGTGTTTACCATCCACTTGTTCTCTGCTGATGATGAGCAGCATCCGTTGTTTCGAATCACAGCGCCGGTCCTGGAGGTCAGCCAAGGAGGGAGAGCGACCATCGGTAAGAAGCAGCCCCTCGACCTGTGTCAGATTCTGCCTGTCATTCACGCGTTTGGAAGTTCACTCAGGACGGCGGTCTCCAACGTGGTGCTCGTGGGCACCTGCCACAGCTCAGGTGGAGTGTCACCTGACGCTGCCACAGCTCTGGTTTTAGGATCCCTTGAGAAGGCCCGGAGCACCCTCCCAAGGCCTTCAGACCTCCCTTGTTTGGGCCAAATAATATGCATGAGGACCAGGCAGAGTAAACAACAAATAAAAGGTTTATTTTGACAGGAGGTCAGCCCATTATGGGGAACAAACAAGGTGCAAGAACAATAGTAATAGGTGGGTGAAGAGAAAAGAAACCAAAATGCCCTAACGCGACTAGACTCACAGTCCCTAGTACTGTCTCAGTTGGGCACGAGTCTGCTCACCCTTCCTCTCAGGGTGAGGGTCTCTCCCAGCAGCAGCCTTCCCTCTGGCCCTGCTCTCTTGGAAGAAGAACAGTTCTTCTTCTGTACCAGTTCTTTTAATGTAAGTCCCCTTTCTCTGTGATTGGCTAAAATTGGTGCCAAAATCTCTCAGGGACTTCTGGGAGTTGTAGGCCTGGCCTCCTCCCACTGCTACTCAGGCTCCCTGGGCCTGCTAGGCCTTTACTTGCACAGCCCAGATCATGACAGCACCTACCAACACCAAGTGTTTTCATAAAGTTGGTGGGGCCAGGCGAGGTGTTCGTCCAACAGGGCTGCTGGTTGACTACTGGGGACCTGATTGTCTGTGCAAGTTAAAAAGCAGCAAGAGCTTCTGCCTGAAATGTTGAAGAGTTCTGTTACAGTTACTGATAACCTCACTCCCTGAAGTCTTGTGGTTGGCTCGGCCTCTTGTGGCAGCCATTTTGGGGCTGGTTTCACTTCCTGTGGCAGCCATTTTGCGGTTGCACCCTCCATCCTGTGTCAAAATTCCAAAAGTGCCTGCAGGCTCAAAAAGGTTGGGGACCCCTGACATAAGTCCTTTCTGAGGGAGTAATTTGGAAGGGGGTAATCACGGGTGGGAGAGAATAACCCCTCATCCCTCCCTCGCTCTCCCCCCTTTCAGCAGTGGCAAAAATGTACTTGGGTTCCTGCTGTTGGGTGTGGCAGTGACACTTGTTAACTGTGTCCTCCGTTGCTTTCAGATGTTCAGGGAAGACCTGCATTCACAGACTGTGGCTTGTTGCTGAACATCTAGTTCACCCCCAAGTTAGGGCTGCCAAGTGGGGGCGGGTGGCGGGTAGACCCCCGCTTTGGAGGCCCGATTTCCGCCGCCGCGGAATCAGGCCCCGGGGGAACCCCACCCCCGCGTGGGCGTCACCAGGAAGTGACGTGGGCACGCTGGGCACGCTGGGGGCGGGGCCACGGCCATACAAGGCAAAACTATGGTTTTCCCTTGTATGGCCGTCGCCCCGCCCCCAGCGTGCCTGGCCTCCTCCCGTCACTTCCAGGTGACGTGCGTGTGGCGCATGCGTGCTTTGCGCGCGCACACACACACACAAGACGCCGGCCGGGAGCCCCTGGCTCCCGGCAAAGATACACTTGGCAACTCTACCCCAAGTGTGTGTGTGGGGGAGGTATTTGTGAATTCCCTGCATTGTGCAGGGGGGTGGACTAGATGACCCTGGATGTCCCTTCCAACTCTATGATTCTCCCCTTGACAGGGAACTGCAGCCCATCTTGCCTTTGTATGCGTCCACATGCTCCACTTGTTTGCAAAGATGCATTTCTCTTGTTTTGGGGTGCACAGTTGCAACATCTTTTGAACCCTTAAAAAGATGCATAAATCGGCTCATTTGTGTTGGAAGACATGCACACATTAACAGCACAAACAGGGTATTTTAATCATTGCCTGCTCCCTATGCGTGTTGAACATTTATGCTCATTCACTGGTCGAGGCGTGAAATCATTACATTCTCGGATGTCACGTGGAGAAAGTTCGACCTTGACGGGACAATATGCAAAAGGCAGAAAACACCTTCTCACGGCATTCTGATGAATTTGACCAGAGACGAATATTCCTGCACATTTTTCAGTCAGCTCACGTGAACTCAAGATGGACATGATTTTTGAATTTGCCATGGTTGCTTGAATCCAAGTGAATATCCCCTCTAGGACTCGTAATATATCAGATCCATACTGGTGCAGATGTGGTTCTGTTCAGTGCTTTAGCCAAGTAGGGTTGACTCTTTGCCTTCTGTAACCTGTTTTATGAACTGTCAACTGTGCTGCTCTCTAACAGTGGGACAGACAGAAAATGCAACTAAATAAACACTGTTTTTCCTTCCTTTGCACGTGGATGATTCAGGGATACAGCTGGCAGTCAGAGACACACAGGCAGTTCCCAGAGACCTCTTGTTTGAGTTGGTGGATCCTCCCCATCACGGAGTTCTCCTCAAGCACAATGCTGAATTTCCCAGCCACATGAGCACTGGTAAGCTAGACAGAAGTCTCTTGGGGTGTTTGGTAAATGATGTTTTTCATATGCTGAGACTGTTGTTTCATACAACTGGATCCCAGAGCCAGGAGGCAACATCAGGGGAAGGCCTCGGCCCCTAGGCCCTGTTGCTGGCCGTCCAGAGGAACTGTTTGGCCACGGTGTGAGATAGGATGCTGGTCTTGATGGACCACTGGTCTGATCCAGCAGGGCTCTTCTGATGTTCTTATCAGGGGACGGCCTCGGCCTCTGTGTCCTATTGTTGGACCTCCAGACTGGTTGGCCACCATGTGAGACAGGATACTGGACTCGATGGACTGGAAGTGATCCAGCAGGGCTTTTTTGATGTTCTTATTAGGGAAGGCCTCTGCCCTATTGTTGGCCATCTAGAGGAACTGGTTGGCCACCGTATGAGTCAGGATGCTGGACTCGATGGACCACTGGTCTGAAACAGCAGGGCTCTTCTAATGTTCTTACCTGATAGTTTTCACATACTGAGATACACCTCCCTGTAGGGGAAACCATGTGCATGTAAAGTGCTGCTCGGGTGTTTATTTGGGGAGGGAATTTGGCATGGCATAGCCCAGTCGTGCCACATATCAGAAGCTAAGCAGGGTCGGTACTTGGATGGGAGGCCGCCAAGGAGGACTCTGCAGAGGAAGGGAACGGCCAACCACCTCTGCTTCTCACTTGCCTCGAAAGCTCCTTGCTGGGGTGGCCATAAGTCTAAGCTAAGCAGGGTCAGTACTTGGATGGGGGACCACCAAGGAAGGCTTCTCACTTGCCTCGAAATCCCCTTGCTAGGGTGGCATAAGCCTAAGCTAAGCAGGGTCAGTACTTGGATGGGAGACCACCAAGGAAGGCTCTGCAGAGGAGGGGAACGGCCAACTTCCTCTGCTTCTCACTTGCCTCGAAATCCCCTTGCTAGGGTGGCCATAAGTCAGTTGTGACTTGATGGCACTTGTGTACGTACATGCACACACTGGTTTCGTGTAACAGCTTGGTTACCCCTGTGTTTGTCACAAAACAAATGTTTGTGTCACAGTTCCCAAGGGACAGCATGCACTCATTTTCCTACATGGTTTGTGGGGGGGGGGGAGCCACTGAGGCCCCGGGCACACGTGCCAGAAAACGCGGTGGGGAGGCGTGGCAGTTTGTGGCGGCACAATTAGACCTGCAACAAAGCGATCAGACGCGTCGGCGGCAAACCACGGTTCCATCCCTCAGCGTGTGAGCTTCAACGAAGACGGCCGGAGGGAAAAGCCGTGCCGACGCGATCACACAGACGGAGTCCGTCGGCAGCCTGTGGCAAACCATTTGCCAGTACTTCTGGTCAGGGTCTTTTTAACCGCGCATTTTTGGCGGCACGCCACGGGTTGGCCACGGGTGCGCTATGCCCGCCAGATGTTGCGGTGTGCTTGCGCCCCGAAAATCCGCCCAACATTCATGGCTCTCTGTGGCAAATTTGCTGTGTGAACGGGGCCTGAGTGTCTTTTGGGATGGGGGGTATTAGTGGTGAATTTCAGGGTGGTGGGCCGAGGATCTTCAGACGCTTTCCAAGAGCCTGAGAGTACTTCAAAGTACAAGGAACTGTTGAGTGGAATGCACCTTTTTCTTTTAAAGTCGGTGAGACTCTGACTGTGTCCCTTCTCGCCTGAATTTCCGTGCTTTTACCCCCAATCGTGGTTGCATCAGCTAGCATCTGTTGATTAATCAGGCTGCCCACATCCATACTGCTATTTCCTAGTCCCTGTTTTGCAGAACAGAGTGCCCACTAACAAACTATGTAGGAATTTGCCCCTCAGTGTTCTCCTGAAGGGGTTTTCTTCTTCATAATTTTTTCCTCATGCTTTTCCCCAGATGCTGGCTGGGAACTGATAACTGTTTTCTTAACATCCTTTCCAGCTTTGTTTCAAGTGGGCATGCTCAGAACCCAGACATGCTAACTTCAATATACCGAAGCCAAAGCTTTGCCAGTCATTTGGCCTTAAGGCGTACTCCCTCCCCCTTATTTATTTCTATACACATTTGTGGGCCGCAACTTGGATGGCCCAGGCTAGCCCGATCTCATCAGATCTCAGAAGCTAAGCAGGGTCAGCCGTGGTTAGCATTTGGATGGGAGACCACCAAGGAAGTCCAGGGTCGCTACATGGAGGCAGGCCATGGCAAACCACCTCTGATCGTCTCTTGCCTTGAAAACTCTGCAGAGTCTCCCTAAGTCGGCCGTGACTCAATGGCAACTTTCCACCCCATTTGTAGAGCATGCTGTTTCATTGTAAATGCTTAATGAAGTCTGTGCTGTTAGCATTTCCTCCAGGTGCAGTATGCTAAGTTTAGGATATACGCTTAGATACGTTTCTGAATTTAGTAAATTGGAACCTTGCATTATTTTGATGGTAATGGCGTGGCTTTAGAAAAGACAACGATAGATTTATCAATAAAACCTTCTACAAGGCCCTCCTCCAAGAGTTCCTTTACTGCTTTCTTAATTAGCTTCGAGGGATTATCTATTTTCCTAGTAAAATGCATAGTGTTGTTCAGTTGTCTACAGGCCTCTGTAATGTAGTCATCTTTGCCCCAAACTACAACTGCTCCGCCTTTATCTGCTGGTTTGAAAATAATGTTCCTTCTTTGACAGAGCTGTTTTAATGTCTGGTTTTCTAATTGATTTAAATTATGCCAAGCCGGTATTTCCCTTTGTTCTAATGTTTTCAATTCTTCTAACACCAGTTCCTGGACTACTAGTATCCTTGGTTTTTTAGTGGATGGATTAAATGAAGATTTAGGTTTCAAATTGAAGACCTTCAAATCCACGTCACTAGTCTCCTTATTATCTTTTAAAAAATCAGCCACCCTAATTTTTCTGAATAAATTATGAATTTCCACCATTAATTGAAAGGAGTTGCGAGGAGGTGTAGGGATGAAAGACAACCCCTTCCTCAGTACCAAAAATCCCACCTCTGACAACTTAGAAAGGTTAACTACCTGTGAGTTCTCAAAACTTTTTTCGTGTAGTTTGGTCTGAACTCCTGATGTCTGTACCTCTTGCCTTATCTCAGTTCTCGATTCTGACCTAAAAAAAATCTCCTCTCTCCTAAGTATGGAATAACTAAGATTATCTTGGGGAGAATGAGCAGACGTTGATCCTAAACTGTCCCCAGAGGGATTGCTTTTATCCAAATCAGTGGTGCCAAAAGAGACTGATTTCCTAGTATACAGTCCCTGTCTCTGTGATAACCAATCATAGTTCCCTCTTCATAGTCTTTTAGGTCTCTCTGGATTTTTAAAAATTTGGTCTCTTTGAATTCCAAAACTTGTTTATGAATATCACTGTCCAGAGACTTCATTTGATCACACAGCATCCTTTAAAAAAGACAACTCCTGATTTCAACATTTCTTTTTGAGAAGGCGATACCTTCACGTATGAGGAAATCACCAGGAATGCTCTGCAATACATCCACGACGGCTCTTCTGCAGCAGAGGACAGGATGGAGATTTCAGTAACCGATGGAATCACTACAGCTGCGACTGTGTTAAAAGTGGAAGTGTTGCTGACAGACAGTGATGGGCCCCGGCTGGTTCCTGGCTGCTCACTGAGCGTCATGGTTTCTAGTAAAAGCTCAGTGATCATCACTCGATCCCACCTTGCTTATACGGTAAGCTCATCATACATTTCCAACCCCAACCCCCGTTTTTCTAACCTTAAGAAGCTCTTGGATGTGTCCTTAAAATATTGTTTCATGTCGGTAGCCGTGTTGGTCTGCAGTAGAAGAACAGGATTCGAGTCCGATATTAGGTTTTAACATTGTGGAATTATGTTTTAATTTGAACTGTTTTAGAATTGTTTGTTGTAACCCACCCTGAGCCCAGCTGTGCAGGAGAGGATGGGATAAAAATCCGAATGAATGAATGAATGAATGAATGAATGAATGAATGAATGAATGACCAATAAGAGTTCCAGGGTATCTGACGAAGGGAGATCTGACTCTCAAAACCTTATACCCTGGAAATTTCGTTGATCTTTTGAGATGCTATCAGTCTTGAGCCTTGCTGCTTAAACATTGCATTTTGTCAACTGGCAGCACAGTTGCTCCAAGCCAGCAAGGTGAACAAAATTATGTATGGGATAGAGAAGGCAGAGAAAGAAGTATAGATGGAATGCTATGTCTGGGGCACTGACGCTCTGTGTCCTTGGTGCTTGGGGGGCCACGGAGGGAGGGTCTCTGGAGTTCTGCCTCCACTGGTTCTGCTCCCTGATAGCCCCTTTGTTTTGGCCACTGTGTGACACAGAGTGCTGGACTGGATGGGCCATTGGTCTAATCAGGGCTATTTTGGGGCAGGAGCGCACAGGAACTGAGTTCCAACTGGCTCCTGAGTTGGCCACGCCCAGCAGGAACTCATTAGCATAATAGGCCACACCCAACAGCAGAAACTCATTAGGATTGGCTACATTAGGGGTGTGGGGCCTAACGTGCAAAGGAGTTCCTGCTTCAAAAAAAGCCCTGGGTTTTGACAACAAACAAGGTTAACAGAATAAAAAGCAAAAGGTTGGTATGGCTGGATGACCACACTTCTGGTAACACGTGGGTGCGGCCTAATATGCTAATGAGTGGTACTGTCAGGGGTGTGGCCCAATATGCTAATGAGTTTCTGCTATTGGGTGTGGCCTATTATGCTAATGAGTCCCTGCTGGGCTTTTTCTACAAAAAAAGCCCTGGGTCTAATCCAACATGGCTTTTCTTACCTTCTTATGTTCTCATTAACCTGAGGGCTTTCCACACAGTTTTTGTTGGGTACATGCATGCATGGAAGCCCCAGTGGAAACTGAGCGTCTCAGTTCAGACCGATTTCAGAAGTTACATTTTCCTACCTACAGTACAGAATCTACGTGGAGAATCAGCAACAACGTGGCTGAAAGCAGTAGCTTTGTAACTTTGCTAAATTCTGGCATGACTGTGTCTCTTACAAAACCCCTGAACCGTCTTTGGAGGCCAGTACTGTAGTTTCATCTGATCACAAATTAAGTTCCTTACATATATAGTGCCCCACATGGCAGAAATGCGCCACATGTCAGATAAGGCTACTCTGCAAGGTCTGCTGGACTTTACAAGGCAAGGGAAAGGGAAAAGAGAAAGGACAGGAAGCTACAGTAAGACAAATGACCCTTTATTAACTGAAGTACAAGGAAAAATCTTGTACTGCCAGGCCTGAGTGCAATCTGTATTCCAGGTTCAGTACCACTGGAGAGCAGTCAGCCCATAGGTGGCCAAGCACAGCACAGATGCGAGTGGAAATCAAGCAGTTGTGTCCTGGGCCTCAAACAGGATCCAGGCACCTTGGATAGAGAAATTGTCAGTCCGCGAAAGGATCAGAACTAAGATAGTGAGCAGGTTCTAGAAGACCAGAGGCAGAGGTCCAACTAGCAAGAGGGGTCAGGGAACCAGAGGGAATAATAGAATCATAAGAGTTGGAAGAAACCTCCAGGGTCATCTAGTCCAACCCCCTGCACAATGCAGGAAATACACAAATACCTCCCCCCAGACACACCCCCAGTGACCCCTGTTCCATGCCCAGAAGATGTCAAAAACCCTCCAAAATCTCTGGCCAAACTGGCTTGGAGAAAAACTGCTTCCTGACCCCAAAGTGGCAATCGGCATTTCCCTGGATGTGTAAGAAATGGCCACAAGAACTAAGCACGGATGCAACCCTTCCTGCCCTCCCTTCTCATGATCTGCCCAAGTTTACAGAATCAGCATTGCTGTCAGATGGCCCTCCAGCCTCTGTTTGAGAACCTCCCAAGAAGGGGAGCCCAGCACCTCCCGAGGAAGCCTGTTCCACTGAAGGACCACTCTAACTGTCAGGAAGTGCTTCCTAATGTTTAGCCGAAAACTCTTCTGATTTACTGGTGGACCTCCTGATGGCACCTGGTATTTTTGGCCACTGTGTGACAGAGTGTTGGACTGGATGGGCCATTGGCCTGATCCAACACTGGCGTCTCTTATGTTCTTATGGACTCAAGAAAGGTTTTGCCACATCCTTTTGTTTCTTACTTTCTAACCTCTATTCAGGATCCTCTTCAGCACCTTGGGCATGCAGGATGGGGTGTCCCATGGCCTCTTCTGACTAGGGTGTTCCCTCTTTACGAAAGGCAGGCAGGCAGGCGGCTGGGCATCTAGAAAGAGACATCTGAAGGTCACTTCCAAGACCAAAGCAAGCACTTCCAAGACCAAAGCAAGCACTCCGTGCTGAGCATGGAGCTCTCTAGTGTTAGATGAGCAGGAGTTAGTCCTGGATACCAGCTGAGCAGGAAGGGCTGATGGTATGGCCTAGAGATGGCATCTTTAAGCCCACTCAGTTGGCTAAAACAAAAAATAAAACCCAGACCTCAGTCTGCCAGGCCTGCAGTGGCTACAGCTTGCCAGTGGCACAAATGGCAAGGGTAAGTTAGGGTTGCCAGCTCTGGGTATGGGAAATTCCTAGAGATTTGGGGGCAGAACCTGGGGAGGGTGGAGTCTGGGGATGTGGTGCCATAGAGGAGGGGTCCCAACCTTTTAAAGCCATTGGGCACCTTTGGAAATCTTACACAGGGTAGGTGGGCATAAAAAAACCTAAGATCATGGCATCTGGCCCCATCACTCCTTGGCAAGTAGAAGGGGAAGTCGTGGAAGCAGTGACAGAATTGACGTTCCTGGGATCCAAGATCACTCCAGATGGTGACAGCAGCCATGAAATTAAAAGATGCCTGCCCCTTGGGAGGAAAGCGATAGCAAGCCTAGACGGCATAATAAAAAGTAGAGACATCACCCTGCCAACAAAAGTCCGTATGGTCAACACAATGGTACTCCCAGTAGTCATGTTTGGCTGCGAGAGGTGGACCATAAGGAAGGCCGAGTGCCAAAGAATACATGTTTTTGAATTATGGTGCTGGAGAAGACTCTTGAGAGTCCCTTGGACTGCAAGGAGATCAAATCAGTCAATCCTAAAGGAAATTAACCCTGATAACTGAAGCTGAAATACTTTGGCCACCCAATGAGAAGGGAGCACTCACTGGAGAAGACCCTGATGCTGGGAAAGACTGAAGGTAACCGAAGAAGGGGACGGCAAAGGATGAGATGGTTAGACAGTGTCATCGATGCAACGAACATGGAATTAAGCAAACTCCGGAGGACGACGGAAGACAGGAAGGCCTGGCGTGTTGTGGTCCGTGGGGTCGCAAAGAGTCAGACTTGACTCTGAGACTGAACAACAACAAAAAGGTGAGCACAACCACAGAAGTGCCTGTCGCAGCAGGTGGTGCCAACCACAAAACGTCAGGGAGAGGGATTGTGAGTAACTCTGATAGTACCACTTGAGCTATCCAGGCATACATACACACACTGAGCTAGCTAAGAAACACTAACCTGGCAGTATCTGTCAGATCTCCCGTGGACAATCAGAAGCTCTATTGGCCATATGCGCTTTCTAAAAAACGTTACTCAGGCACCAGGAAAGATGCCAGCGGCCTCTACGGTGCCCACGGGCGCAACACTGGAGACCCTGCCATACAATTTATCCTCTGAAGTCGCCATTTTCTCCAGGGGAATTGATCTCTGTAGGCTGGAGATCAGTGGTGATTCCTGGAGAACTCCAGGCCCCACCTGGAGGCTGAACTTTGTAAGGAAAAACAGCTGTGATATGATAACGAAACCTTGTTAGAGAAAAATATATCTTCTTTAATTATCCAGTGAATAACGAACCATTAAAGGTGTTTTCTTTGAAGTAAATTGGTCTCAAGTTTTTCTTTCTGACGTACAGTGCTCAATAGACCCGTTTCACTCAACTTAAGTTAGAAAGAAGAAGAAGAAGAGAAGAGATTGGATTTATACCCTGCCCTTCGCTACCCGAAGGAGTCTCAGAGCGGCTTACAGTCTCCTTTCCCTTCCCCTCCTCACAACAGACACCCTGTGAGGCAGGTGGGGCTGAGAGAGCTCTGACAGAAACTGCTCTTTTTCAAGGACAGCTGTGCCAGAACTACGGCTTGCCCAAGGTCATCCAGCCAGGTGCAAGTGGAGGAGTGGGGAATCAAACCCGGTTCTCCCAGATTAGAGTCCACGCACTTAACCACTACACCAAACTGGCAAGGAAGCAGGAGCAGAAAAAATACAAAAGGTGTAAGGTCTCATCTGACGGAACTTTGAGTGAAACGGTCTATTGAGGGCTGTACGTCAGAAAGAAAAACTTGAGACCAATTTACTTCAAAGAAAACACCTTTAATGATTTGTTATTCACTGGATAATTAAAGAAGATACATTTTCCTCTAACAAGGTTTCGTTATCATGTCACGGCTGTTTTTCCTTACAAAGTTCAGCCTGTCCCGTGAGCTCTCATCCTTGACTTTACCCACCTGGAGGTTGGCAACGCTAACAGACCGGCGTCTACACTCCTGTGATGTCACATGACCTGCTGTGGCCTCCCTAGAATTCAAATAGCTTACGGAGGTTTGGCTCGTTCTCCTCACCATTCCTTCCTTCAGTCCCCCCTCACCATTCCTTCCTTCAGTCCCCCCTCAGTGGCCGTGCCTCGCCTGACTGACTGCCTTTGCCTATGTTCTGGCATGACTCTCACCCCCGTCCTCTCGCCTCCTCTGCCCTCTCACCCCGTCCTGTGCCCTGGCTGAAGAAACCGCTTCTGCCACAGGTGTGAAGGCCGGAATCTCTTCTTGCCACCTGAGGCTGGTGACTCCGACTCCCGTACAGGCGGAGACTTGGCCTGTTTGCTTTGGCACTTCAAGAGGCTGCTAGCAAAATCCAGGCATTTTGCCTGGGCGCTCTGTTAGCGTTTTATTACACACAGACAGAAAGGGGATCTGGGGCCAAGCGAGTGAATGTGCGAATGAGACCTCTGTAACATAAACTACCAACATCCCTCTGAACGCTGTTACTTGGCAAAAGCTGTGTAGCCGTTTTCTCGTGTGCCCTGCGGACAGCTGCCAAAAAGAGAGAGAGGTTGAATAATGGGTTCTTTCTCTCTTGCCAGGTGTTTTGGACAGTGCAGGTTACATTCAGGTAGAGGTGAAGTGCAGAAGGTGCAATGAAAATTAAGCTAATCCGAGAGTCAGGTGCCGCTAAGCCTCTTTGCAGGCCCACCATGTAGGCCGCGGAGACCGTTTGTGGACCCGACTGACTCTTATATGCATAGAATGATGAGGATTCTGTTCTAGGGTTAACCAGAGTGTGACTGTATAGTATTTCCCAGCATGCTTCTGCAGAAAACCACTTAATTTTTCTGCACTCCTTCAAAAACCAATTGTGGTTCAAATTTTAACTAACAGTATACCCTTCTTTGTTCTGGTTTAGGAGGGTGTAACTTTGCTCAGGACTGCTCTGTTAAGTCCTACAAAGAGGGGTGGTGGGGCTCAAGCTTCAGCCGCCTCCCATCTTGGAAATCCTGTCCCCACCCCCATCAGTGACAGAGCCATGGCAGCTGCCTGTGGAGGCTAAGTGAAAGAAAAGGTGCTTTGTACATGTTCAGAGGTAGTCCTTGATTAATGTGGCTGTAATTCCGAGGCTAAGCATTGAAAATGGTATCAGAAACTTCGTGCAAATTAAGTCTAGCTTGCTTGCCTCCATGGACAGTCCTGAACCTTCAGATAAGAACCAAATGTTAGTTCTGCTTAGTATCTTTTAAGTGTCTCTTGGTAAAGGTTGCTCCTTCCCCCCTCCCCCAACTTGTTTTCCTTCCAGTATAATGTGCGGTTGCGCTTACTTACTTGAGTGATCTGAATGGCAGGCACTTTGGGTGTGGTGTTCTTGTTTTTACCTGTGATCCGTTTCAAGCCCTGTTCTCACATTACAGGGTGGTGGGACTGCCACTTCCCCATCAGTCGTCTCCCAATTCTTATGGTGTGGTTTGAAGGGCAGGATCACACGGGAAGAGCCATGCCAGCACCAAAAAACTCATCAAGATGTGGGCACGTGATTGCTGTCACGTCATCCTCCACCTTCTGTGTTTTCTACATTTTAGAAAGTATTGGGAAGGATACAAGGCAGGAGCAGCAATTCTCCTTCTCCTATAGTCCCAAGTATGTGAGTTTATAATATGTGGGGAGGTTAGGATTAAGTGGATTTAGCCTATGGAGAGGTAAGCTGCAGAGCCTTCTGTGGTAGATATGGGCTTAGACTTGACCTTCCAGATGTCTTAAACAGTATGATTTGACACAAATCCATGTGGCAGTATCTGAGACCGAGCCTTGGAAGTCCCTGTCAGCATTTTGAAGATTTATTTCCGTATCTTTAAGTAACAGAGTGGAGGGGAAAAAGGATGAAAAAGGATGTAGTTAAGGTTTAAATGACAAAGTCAAAAAGGGCTTGCGGCTGCGACGTTCAGGACATTAGGGGGGGAAACATATGATTTTGAAGACAACGTAACAAACTATAAGGTTCATTAAGGTTCTTCTAAGAATTATGACTGTATGGAATTAGTAATCTCATATTAAAAATTAATGGATTAATCATGAGTGCTTAATCAAGCAGTCAGTGATGTACAGCTGCATGAATTTCCACATCTATAAAACAATAAGAACATAAGAACATAAGAGATGCCAATGTTGGATCAGGCCAAAGGCCCATCCGTTCTAACCCGACCACTCAGCAATTTCATGGAGTGCCCACGGGTTCTTGTATTGTGAGAAAGGGAGAAAAGTACCTCTTTCTCTACCTGCTCTTTCCCATGCATAATCTTATAAACCTCAATCATGTCACCCCTCAGTCGTCGTTTCTCCAAGCTAAAGAGCCCTAAGCGCCTTAACCGTTCCTCATAGGGAAAGTGTTCCAACCCCTTTATCATTCGAGTTGCCCTTTTCTGCACTTTTCCCAAAGCTATAATATCCTTTTTAAGGTGTGGTGACCAGAACTGCACACAGTATTCCAAATGAGGTCGCACCATTGATATAATCCTATTGGTTGCATTTATCGAGACCGTGCAATCCTACTAGAGTCTCTGTGAGAGGGGCAGGCTCTAAAGTGAATAAATTGACCTGCAAACCACTTTCCCAGCTCCTATGATCCCTGTAGAAGTCTGAGATCCATTTTTCATGCTTACCAAGAGAAAAGAAACGTGACCTATCACAATTTTGGACTCCTGAGAAGCCATGTTGCTGCTCACATTCACCTTCTTGCCTATAGTTGTAGCAACTTACGTTAAAAATAAATCATTTTTGAGCTTGTCATATGAGGTTGGGTTGCCAGCCTCCAGGTGGTGGCTTGAGCTCTCCCACTATTTCAACTGATCTCCAGGCAACAGAGAACAGTTCCCCCGGGAGAAAATGGCAACTTTGGAAGGTGGACTCTGTGGCATTATGCCCCCATTAGAGTCCCTCCCCTCCCCAAACCCCGCCCTCCTCAGGCTCCACCCCCCAAATCTCCAGGTAATTCCCAATCCAGAGCTGGCAACCCAAGTCTGAGGTTCCACCTCCCTCCATCTTTTGGAGGTCAGTTGAGTAGTAGATAAGAACGGGGACTTTCCAGTCGTGGCACCCCAGCTTTGGAATGCCTGTCTTTGGATGCTGACCTGTTGTCAGGTTTGTTCTCTTTCCAGTGGTGGGTTCAGGCTTGTTTGGTCTTTAGGTGGGCATTCCTCCTTCCCCTTTGTACTGTAGCTTTTGTTCTCAGCTCTATTGCTTTTATTTGCTGCTGCCGAATCACAGATTTCAATGTTGTCTATAACTTTATTCTCTGCTGTTTGAATTTCTGAAACCGAATAATATTTTATTATGGTGAGTTTAATTTTTTTTAATATGTTGTTGGCTACCCCATGAACTATGTCCGTCCCCCCCCCTCGGTTGAGGGGTGGAATAGAAATGTTTAATGTTTAGATAATTTAAATTTTGTTGTTGTTCAGTCGCACAGTCGAGTCTGACTCTTCGCAACCCCATGGACCAGATCCTGACAGGCCTTCCGGTCTTCCGCCGTCCTCTGAAGTTGGCTCAACTTCATGTTCGTTGCATCTATGACACTGTCTAACCATCTCATCCTTTGCCGTCCCCGTCTTCTTTGACCTTCAATCTTTCCCAGCATCAGGGTCTACTTTAAATTTAGAAATGTCTAAATAAAATTGGGAGGGGGGGATGCTACTGGATAAATCAGAGAGACCTTTTTCAAGTGCCCTTTTTCAAGTGCCAAGATTTTAAATATTTTCATCTTATTGACAGGACACTAGTACCACAGAAATGCCTCGAATTTTTTATTTCGGCCCTGAGTGACTGGCAGTTCTACCACTGGGCATCTTTCAGTGCCCCGATGCTAAAATATAGGATCTTCCTCCCTTCCACCTGATCCCTTTTACCTATGTTATTCAGTGACTGCCTGTGTTAATCCTGACTTTTTTTCTTGATCTTATTTTTCTCCTCAGGATAATAATTCTCCCGATTCCAAGATAAAGATTCAGTTAATTTCGCTTCCCATGTATGGTACCCTTTTGCGAATAACTCCGGGACAACATTCTGAGGAGTTTTCTGAGGTGTATAATTTCACAATGGAAGACATCAATAACCAAAGAATCAGGTAACCCCAAAGAAGTTTCAAGAAGCCCATCTAACAACCCGTATAGCCCTTCCCTCCAGAACCATTCCGAAATCCACAGTGCCACCTACAGGAGAAAACGTATACTTAACATCAGCCATGCTGTGTTCACTTCATAGCCTGCCACAGGGGAGTTTCTGATAAACCATTTCTGTTTTGATATTTTGTGGACTGAATGACTACAGCAGATGGGCACTTCACAGACTCTGGCCTGTGAAATTATGGAACCAAATGCACAAACCTGCCTCATTCTGAGTCAGCCCATTCATCTATCACTGTCAGTATTGTCTACCCAGACTGGTCACGGCTCCCGGGGTCTCAGGTCAAGGTCTTTCACATCACCTCCAGCTTGACCCCTTGAATTGGAGATGCCGGGGGTCGAATATACCTGCCCTACATCCTCTCCCCAGGATGTGACTCAGTGGCAGAGCACCCGCTTTGCATTCACAAGGTACCTAATTCCATTCATGTCATGAACAGCTGGAGACAGAGTGTTTTTAAGACAGCTTCAGGCCGTTTGAGAGCAAAATGGCCGCTTGTGGTGTGTTCATGCATCCCTATTCCACCTCTGGTAAAATGGTTTTTGTGCTCTTGCAAAACCTGCTTGACCAGAGGCAACCGTGAGCAGAAAGAAGTATGTGTCCACTATGACATTATTTGCAATGGGGTCCATTTCTATCCCAGGGCTATGGGGGGGGGGGGTTTCTTCAGGGAACCTGAAAGATGCTGGCAAGCCAGGTAGTCTCAAGCAAAGAGCCCTGCAGGATCAGACCAGTGATCATTCTAGTCCAGCATCCTGTCTCACACACTGGCCAACCAGTTCCTCTGGCGATCTTCCCTCTAAGCCGAGTTAGTGTGAGCTAGCTCACAGTTTTTTAGCCTCCGGCTCACACATTTTAGCCTTAGCTCAGGAAGGAGGGCTCCAGAGCAAACTAATTGACGCAGGAGCCAAATGGCTCCCTCACAACTTTAATGCCAGTAGCTCACAAAGTAGAATTTTTGCTCACAAGACTCCACAGTTTAGAGGGATCATTGCATAGATCATAGAGGCCAAAGCCCTGATGTTACTTCCTGGCACTGTTTCTCAGAGGTTTACTGCCTCTGAATGTGGAAGTTCCCTTTCAGCCGCGGGTACTTGGTGAGCTTCTCTTCTTGACAGGAAGCTCTGTGATGAGTCTTAATGTACAAAAGAAAGGTACACAGTTCCCCTTCTTATCCTTGGCGCCTTGGCCTGAGATCCCTCTCTGGGCCACAGGGGCTCTGCTGTTGCCTCAGCACCAGAGTACCTTCCCCAGTGTGCTTTGGATCCCTTGGCCTCCCCACACAGAGCTGCTCCTGCTGTCTCTCTGATCTGGCTATCCTTCCTGCAATGAGGTGGAGGTGGGCTCTGAATCCTTCGGCCTCTTGGGCTCCACCTCTCCGCTCTCCCTCCTTCCTCACCCTGACGCCACTTCTCTTCTCTCTTTGCCTTCATATGAACACATAGGCTGTATCGGACAGATATGAAGCTGCCTTAAACTGAGTCAGCCCATTGGCCCGTCAAGGTCAGTACTGTCTGCTCAGATTGGTAGCGGCTCTCCAAGGTCTCAAATAGAGGCAGGGTTGCCAAGTATTTACCGCAATCCGGCGGGGGACACCCGCTCCCCGGACGGAACATTTCTCCTTGTAACGCACCATTCCGTCGCCAGGAAATGACACTGGGTGACGCTCTGGCAATGGGGCTGAAAACTCGATGGTACCATCGAGTTTCTGGCCCCATTGCCAGAGCGTCACTTCCTGGCGACGGCATGGTGCGGCACGTCTGTTGTCCCCGCAGGAATGATCCTGCGAAGACGTCTTCGTCCCCCGCCGAATCACGGTAAGTACTTGGGAAGCCTGAATGGAGGTCTTTCACCTACTACCGGGTTTTTTAAGCTGGAGATGCCGGGTATTGAACCTGGGACCTTCTGCATGCAAAGCTGATACTCTGCTACTGAGCCATGGCCCCTCCCTTGGGTACCAGCCCATGGTCCTTCCTCAGATGGGGCTGCTCAGCTTCCTGGTCACTGCCCCAGCAGCCACCGTTGAACTTCCTGTTTTCTTTTCTGGGGACTTGTGGGCCCCATTAGCTGGCATGCTAGAGAATGCCGACACCTCTCTCTGAAACGTCTTTCAGCTCTCTTGTACACTGTTCTCTGTCCCCAACCTATAAAAGCCTGCTCCACAATTTGGTTTCTTGTAATAGCATCCTCCTGAATCTTGTCTTCTCCTTTTAACGCCGCTGTAGGATCTAAGAGCATAACATGTAGCCGTCCCTTCTTCCAGGGCTGCTAGAAGAACCTAGGGTTGCCAAACTCCAGGTGTGGGCTGGAGATCCAGTGTTCCCTCTAAGCTGAGTTAGTGTGAGCTAACTCACTTTTTTTTTTAGCCTCCGGCTCACACATTTTGTGTCTCAGCTCAGGAAGGGATGGCTCCAAAGCAAACTAATGTATGCAGCAGCCAAATCGCTCACTCACAACTTTAAGGCCAGTAGCTCGCAAAGTAGGATTTTTGCTCACAAGACTCCACAGCTTATAGGATTGAGTCTGATCTCCTGGTGAGAGAGTTCAGTTCCCCTCGAAAAAATGGCTGCTTTGGAAGGTGGACTCTATGGCATTATATCCCACTGCGGTCCCTCTCTCCCCAAACGCCACCCTTCCATGACCCCAATCCCCAAATCTCCAGGAGTTTTCCGACCCAGAGCTGACGACCCTATCCCTATCGTCACATCTCACCCAGCAACATAAAACTGCAAGTCCTTTCCCCCCCCCATGCAGACGAAATGGAGGTGAAGGTGAAATTGTCACCTCATTGTATGGAGACAGAGAAGGACGAGGAAGCCTTTCATCTGGCTGTCAGTGTGACTTCTCCCTCCCTCCCTGTGTCCCGTGCAGATATTCCACAGACTTTGTGGCCGTCAATCAGCCGGTCACAGACATTTTCCATTTTGCTGTTTTCGATGCCGACAACAACCAGCTCGAGAGTCAGATGTTCACCATCACAATCACGGATGTCCGGGGCATGCCTCCCGTCATCGCTTTTGCCGACCGTATCACAGTACGTAAATTCCCCGGCAGGGTCCAGGTTGTAGTGGGGCATATTTGACACAGACCGTTAAGTTTAATTTCCCTCCACTTTGGATTTTGGAGAAGTGGCTCACACAGGAGGTGGAGAATCGGTAGCCGGGATACCAAGAGAAACCTTCGGTTCTCTTTCACTTTGGAATTTAATGAATATTAGACGACAAAGAGGCAGGCATCAAAAGCAGAACTGGGCCAATGCTACGAAAGCTAGAAGGCAGAAGGACGCCTTTGGGTTGGATTCTGGTGCTTCTGTGAATGGGCCGAGTCCATGGGAGCGGTTTTTGCCCTTTCCCGCCCAGGAGTGTCCTGTTCCCCCTGAAAAACTGCTGTGAATACTTCCTTGGAGATAGACCAAGACGGGGAGCCTGCTGTTGTCATTTGCCCACTAATGTCATTCGGCATCTGAAATCACTCCACTTTCCAATGGATAGGACAGATGGACTCTCATTCTAGCTGTATCTGAAGAAGTGAGCAGCGACTCACAAAAGCTCATCCCCTGCCATAAATTGTGTTAGTCTTTCAGGTTCCCGGTGGACTCTTGCTCTTTTCTTCTGCTGTGAACTCTGTTTTAATACTTCAGCTGTGACTGATGAAATGAGAAAGTCCAGAAATAATGTTTTGGGAGGGTAGCCGTGTTGGTCTGCAGCGGAAGAGCTAAATTCGAGTCCAGTAGCACCTTAGAGACCAACAGGATTTTTTGGGGTATAAGCTTTAGAGAGCCAAAGCTCCCTTTGTCAGGTAGAAGAAGAAGAGGTTGGATTCATACCCCGCCCTTCACTACCCAAAGGAGTCTCAGAGCAGCTTACAAACTCCTGCCTCTTCCCTCCCCCCACAACAGACACCCTGTGAGGCAGATGGGGCTGAGAGAGGTCTCTTGAGAACTGCCCTTGAGAGAGAATAGCCCCAAGAGAACTTGTGACTGACCCAAGGTCACACCAGCAGCTGCATGTGGAGGAGTGGAGAATCAAACCCGCTTCTTCCAGATTAGAGTTCGTGCTCCTAACCACTACACCAAACTGGCTCTCAACTCAGAATGGAGATCACTGAGTGTTTCTATCTCAGTCAGAAGGTGGGAGGGGCGTTGCAAAGAAGAGAGTCAGGATGCAAAGGCACGATGCAAAATATAACCAGCTTGGGAAGAATGGCGCTGAAGCTGAACTAGAGCTGCAGAGATACAATAGCTGACATCCTTCCCAGACCTCTTCAATACAGTGGGAAGAAGCTGATGGTGAAGAGATGAGCCCTTCTGTTTGTCCCTCTCCGCTCGTTTAGTTGAAACTGGCTCGTGAGAGTGGCTTCCGAAGGTGGGGTGAAAGCAACTTGTCTAAATCAGACGTCGCGTGCCTCAATATCGTGTTGGTATTTTCAGGTGGATGAAGGAGGGAGGGTCCCGCTTGCAGCTCACCATATGCTTGCCGTTGACTCTGATCTCGTCCAAGAAGACGTAGTGGTGAGAATCATAACTTTGCCCCAATATGGATACATTGAAAACACCAAAACAGGTAAGTTACAAGCCCTGCATGAGTTTTAAGTGGATTCCAATAATACTAATAATAATCATGAAAATAACAACAACTTTTCTTCTTGTTGCTGCTGCTGCTGATGCTTTGTTGTTGTTGTTGTTGTTATCTGATTCCAAAGGACAAGAGAAGTGATGTAAAAATAAATTAATTACAATGGTGAAAGGCATCTGTGGAGTACAAAGTGTGCACTTGCATCCTGCTTTGCCTCTTTCCTTCAGCATCTGCAAGGGGCAGGCAGATTAATAAGCCCCTACGGGCCTGGTGGTTAGAGTGCTGGGCTAGGATCTGGGAGACCCAGATTCAAATCCTCACCCTGCCTTGAAGCTTGCAGGCTAACTGTCTCTCGGCCCAGACTATATTGCAGGGGTGTTGTTGTGAGGACGAAATGAAGGAGTACCAAGCAATGTACACTTCCCTTAGCTCCAGGAAGAATGGAGAAGATAAAAATGTATTAAATGAATAAGCATCTTGTGTGATTTCTGTAAGCCTTTTCCATGTTAAGGAAAAGACCATCAAGGTGGCTCTTGAAATTAAACAAAGAAAATAAAATAAAAATCACCAACAGTCACCGTGAAATCTAACGGCACTTAAAAACCACCAGTATTTAAAATTTAAGGTATGTAAAGTGCTGTTAAGTCATAGAGGACTTGTGGCAGCCCCGTAGGGTTTTCAAGGCAAGAGGTGAACAGAAGTCATTTGCCATTGCTTTCCTCTGCGTAGCATCCCTGGAATTCCTTGGTGGTCTCCCTTCCAAGGGCTAACCGGGGCCAACCCTGCTTAGCTTCCAAGATCTGGCAAGACCATGCTCACCTGGGTCATCTAGGTCAGGGCAAAATTTAAGATAAAACCCAGAAATAACATCAGTTCTTCTTAAAGGTCTTCTGGGATAAATAGATTTTCAAACAATGCCAAAAGGGCCAGGGACACACACACACACATATTAAATTATGCATCTGAATTTCAGCGGTCCAGCCCTCCGCCGTTTATAAAGTGCGGAGTAAACTAATTCTCAGAGCTCAAGAGGCACTTTTTTTGCCAGGACCTGTTTCAGCCCCGCCCAAAGCAGTTCAAGACATTTAAGTCCATTTTTTTTGCTGACTGGATGGACTTTAAAGAATATTTAGAGAAATACTGGGATGTTAAGAATAATTTACTTTGTTTTGATAATTTTTAAGAATTAAGATTAGAAGATTTTAGAAATAGTTGAATATATGATTATAGTTAAAAGAAATGTTACCTATATAGATGAATAAGTATTGATAGTAGTTAAAGAATACGTTACTTATAAAGTTTTCTTTGTTTTAGAGAAAAAATAGACAGAAGAACTAGGGCAAGAAGGGGGTGGGAGCACTGCGGGAAGCCATGGGAGGGGGAGGGAGAATGGAGAGAAAAAAGGGTATATGGTAAGCGAAGAAAGATTTTAATGTTGGACATGTTTTATATCCTGTTAAAAAAATGTTTTTTTTAAAAAAAGAAATTTGAGTCCAAACCCGTGCACTGTCCTCCACACTCACTCTCCTGTCTTTCCAATACTACCAGTACTGCTGCTACAAGTCCTGTTACTACTAGAAGAAGAAGAGTTGGTTTTTATGCCCTTTTTTTCTCTCTGCTTACAACCGCCTTCCTTTCCTCTCCTCGCACGGGCACCTTGTGAGGTAGGTGGAGCTGAGAGAGAAATGTGACCGTCCCAAGGTCAGTCTATTTTTTCTATTACTTCTACTTCTTCTGAGAGCCAGCATATAGTGGTTTAGAGCAGCAGACTCTAATCTGAAGAACTGGGTTTGATTCCCTACCAGTGTTCCCTCTAAGCTGAGTTAGTGTGAGGTAGCTCACAATTTTTTAGCCTCCGGCTCACACATTTTTGTCCTAGCTCAGGAAGGATGGCTCCAGAGCAAAGTAATTTATGCAGTACCCAAAGTGCTTGCTCACAACTTTAATGCCAGTAGCTCACAAAGTAGAATTTTTGCTCACACGACTCCACAGTTTAGAGGGAACATTGTTCCCTACTCCTCCATATGAAGCTTCCTGGGCGACCTTGGGCAGGTCCCAGTTCTATCAGAACTCTCTTAGCTCCGCCTACCTCACAAGGTGCCTGTTGTGGGGAGAGGAGGTGGTGGTGATTGCAAGCCGCTTTGAAGCTCCATAAGGTAGAGAAACGTGGGGTATAAAAACCAACTCTTCTAAGTGGAGTGTTGAGCTAAAACTAAAGATGCTGCAGTCCAGGAGCAGTGCATAATCTTACACATGACCGATGCTGTGTTTGCAGGTAGACGCTTTGGTCCCGGAGATGCCACAAGCTCAGACCTGACGTTCTCCATTCAAGATGTGGTAGAGAACCGCGTTTATTACTTTCAAAGTGTTCATGAAAATATTGAACCCTCCATGGACACCTTTAGCTTTTATGTCAGCGATGGTTTCAGCCAGTCAGAAACTAGCAGCGTCAATATCACTATTAAGGTAAGCGAGCTCACTAATGGGTTTTCCTGTATACAACACCTCTGGCTTCCTCTGCATAAAGCAAGACTTAAGAGTGTGTCCGTGTTCACGGTGTTATGTTCACAATGGCTTGCTATTAAAGGTAAAGGTTCCCTTGCTCGAAAGCTAGTCGAATCCGACTCTAGGGTTGCGGTGCTCATCTCCGTTTCAAAGCCAAAGAGCCAGCGCTGTCCGAAGACGTTTCCGTGGTCATGTGGCCGGCATGACTAAACACCAAGGCACACGGAACACTGTTCCCTTCCCACCGAAGTGGTACCTATTTATTCGCAATTTCTTGCTTTCGAACTACTAGGTTGGCAGGAGCTGGAACTAGAGACGGGAGCTCACTCCGTCATGCGGCACACTCGGGTCTCGAACTGCTGAACTACCGACCTTCCACAGCCTGCAGTTCAGCGTCTTAACCACTTGAGCCACCGCAGCTCCAGGCTTGCTATTAGGCAAAACCAATTCTGAGTGTTGGTTGCGCAGTGCACTGATTGGTTGGAATCTTTGTTACATCAAGTTACTTTATACTGAGTCAGTTACCTTATACTGAGTTCTGTCTGAGGGCAGTCTTTCAAAGCTCGGACTGACTGTCCAGGGTCTTAAGCAGAGGTCTTTCAAGTCATCCACTCCCTGATCCTTTTTAAATGGGAAATGCCATGGATTGAGTCTTTCGCATGCCATCGCACCTCCATATCATGAACCTTTTCCTGGAGAAACTTACCGTCAGTGTCACACTGGCTCTCCTGCACAACTTGTGACCCTAACATTAGACTGCTAACCAGTTTGGTGGAGCAGTGGACTCTAACCATGGTTAAGAGCAGTGGACTCTAATCCAGAGAACTGTGTTTGATTCCCCACTTCTCCACATGAAGCCAGCTCTCTCAGAGCTCTCTCAGCCCCACCTACCTCACGGGGTGTCTGTTGTGGGGAGAGGAAGGGAAGGAGATTGTAAGCTGCTCTGAGACAGGGCCGGCCCCAGCTTATTTTGCACCCTAGGCGAGGATCCCTTCTGGCACCACCACCCCCGTGCGCCCACCATGGCTTGGACCCATTAATTGGATCTGTACCCCGGACCTCCCCCTGGCACTCATGCTCTTAACACTTTTGCTTTTGTAACTTTGCCTGCTTTGCACATCTGGCTTCCACCAAGGAAGACTCTGCAAAGAAAGGCACTCGCAGTCACAAACAACCTCTGCTTCTCACTTGCCTTGACAGTTCCTTGCTGGGGTTGCCATAAGTCAGTTGCAACTTGAGTGTCCTTGTGTAATAGCCCCCCTATTTAGGTTCTTCTTTGACTCAGCTCAGTGACCCTTCTGTGCCCAGAGGGCTAAGTTCTTTGGTGGAATTGGTGTTTGTATCATCAGAAAGATCATAACATGTTTAAAACTCAGTAGTGTTTGCAGCTGAACCAGGACAGCAGGGGGGTGACAGTTTGGTGCCCCTAAGGGCCGGCGCACTCTAGGCGAGCGCCTAGTTCGCCTAGTGAGTGAGCTGGCCCTGCTCTGAGACTCCTTCAGGCTGTGAAGGGTAGGGTATAAAACCAGTTCCTCCTCCTCCTCCTCCTCCTTGCCAAAGTCTCAGTAAACCTTTTGTTTTTGTGCTGGCCTGAAACACTGTAGACATAATGGGAACCGTGCTACCTGCACCTTTCCATTTGTAACTCTGCAATGAAAGGGACTAGGGACTTACTTTTTAAAAGAACGCTGGGCAGCAATCATGGCAATACATTGTTGGAAAAAATGGTGGCCGCACCAGTAAGTGGAGAAGATGAAGGAGAGCAGGTGCAGAATAGAAAATTTATTTGGCTCTCATGGAAACATTGTTAGAACATTAGATCACAACAGCAGTTACCAGTTCATTTTAAAAATTCGCCCAAAACCCATGTCACGGCAGGGGAAACCCAGCTACCCTGTAAGGAAGGGGCATTGTCAAATAGCTTTTAGAACAACCATGGACTCATCACCAAACAGTCAAACCAGTTCTTGAAAAATTAACTCCTTTTTTGTAGCTGGTAAACAGGGTGGGCGCTGAGCTGGCGAGTGTTTGAACATCCCTATTCCCAGATTTGAACTGGTCACCTGCACACCTGATATTTGATAGAACAGGAACCCTGGGAGCTCTGCCTCACCCGGCTCAGCCCACTCATTACATTTTCAGAGCCCCTTTTGACCTTGATATAATGCAGCTTTTTTTTTTTTTTTTTGCATTTCCTTTTTTTTTTTTTTTTGTGGCTTTTTTTTTTTTTTTTTTTTTTTTTTTTTTTATTGGAGCTTGCAACCCTAATTCTATGAAACAAAAAAGAACACCACTGGCAAAAAATAACGCACAAGCAAGTAAGCAAGTATATAATGATCAAATAAGCATAACAGCAAGTATAATATAAATCAAATAAACATAACAAGTATGATATAAATCAATTGGCCAAAGTGCAATAATAAATCATAATAGAAACAAGTCACAGTCTTTCCATGTGTCTACTCCAGCATAGAAGCAATATCAAAGTCCAAATTGGAGTGCAAGTCATCAAATTTTCTGAGCCATAAAAAGCCGACGCGTAATCCGGATGCCTGATGCCGCGTTTCGAAGTATTCTTATTCAAGCATGGCTGTAATGGGACTGAATGCAAATTCAAAGCATATGCAAATGATAATGCATACAAAATATAAAATATTGGAACAATACACAAGTGAGAATGCATTCAGGATATAAATATTTGAAAAATTTGAAAAATTAGGAGCTGCAAAGAAAACTCACCCCATGAGTTTTCATGAGCATCTTTTCTCTCACGGCCATCTTTTGTGCTTTTTGTAGCGTCTGAATGATGAGCCTCCAGAACTGGAGTTGGAGCCGGTTAAAGTTCAGGGTGGCAACGGAGCGGTCGTCAGAAGTTCCTCCCTGAGGACAAAAGACCTGGACACTCCTGACAACCAGCTGGTCTTTGCCGTCACCAAGAAACCCACCCATGGTAAGATGACGCAGCACAACCCAAGAACATGTTTATGCAGCGCACGGATGTTATTTTAGGAACTTGGCCTTCCAGCAGCTCCTGGGATCTGGGAGTTCCCAAAAAGGTGGCCTAAATCTTCACCTGTTTAACTTGAGTGGCCAAAAGCCAAACAATGCTTCCTCTAAGCTGTGGCGTCTTGTGAGCAAAAATTCTACTTTGTGAACTACTGGCATTAAAGTTGTGAGCGAGCAATTTGGCTGCTGCATAAATCAGTTTGCTCTGGAGCCCTCCTTCCTAAGCTAAGACCAAAATGTGTGAGCCAGAGGCTAAAAAACGGTGAGCTAGCTCACACTAACTCAGCTTAGAGGGATTAATTTAAACTCAAGTTTTGATAATGTCCGTGGACAAAGGAGTCCTTTTAACAGTAATGTCTTGGGTCCTGTGAGCAAACCTTGTGTGCCTTAGATAGTCCTTGCTTTGGAGTGCATTTCCTCTTCCCCGAGACCTCCCTTTGTACAAGATCCGTGGTTATCAATGGCTCATTGAGCAGATGGAACCTTCAGGGGAAGAGGACGAGGGCTGTGCAGCAGAGACTATCTGACTTGCATGAAGCTCATTAATAGGAGCCAGGCCTACATTTAGTTTTTTACATGTTTTTAGTATCCAGTGCTCAGGTAGTACACTTATAAAAGTGCTCTCAACACCACAGATACAAGACTTGGCTGGAAAAGACCAACGTCCATTTAATTTATGGCTCTGCCCCAGACCTGGATGTTGCAGGGTAGCCGCGTCTTGTCAGATCTCAGAAGCCAAGAGAGGTCCATCCTGGTTAGAGTTTGGATGGGGGACCACCAAGGAAGTCCACGGTTGCTGTGCAGTGGCAGGCAGTGGCAGAACCACCTCTGTTTGTCTCCTGCCTTCAGAACCCTATATGGGGTTGCCCTCAGTCATCTGTGACTTGGTGGCACTTTCCACCACTACTCTGACAACAGCCAGCCAGAAGATCCCAAGGAGCGCATGATTGTGGAGAGCTGTTCCCAGTTGCTTGTCCCAGCCACCTGCTGGTTAGAAGTGCACTACACCTAAATATAATAGTATCATCTGTGGTTATTTCTGAGGAACAGAAAGAGAGTTTCTTTAAACATATCTCTCCTGAAGAATATTTGGTGGCAACCCCTTGATCTTGTCGTAATAAATTCCTTAAGTTAATCATGTACTGTGGGAAGAATGAGTAGCAATTGATAGGGAACAGAAGAAGAAGAGAAGAAGACATTGGATTTATACCCTGCCCTTCTCTCAGAGTCTCAGAGCGGCTTACAATCTCCTTTCCCTTCCCCTTCCCACAACAGACACCCTGTGAGGTAAAAGAAGAAGAAGAAGAGATTGGATTTATACCCCACCCTTCATTACCCAAAGGAGTCTCAGAGCGGCTCACAAACTCCTTTCCCTTCCCCTCCCCACAACAGACACCCTGTGAGGTAAAAGAAGAAGAAGAAGAGATTGGATTTATACCCCGCCCTTTACTACCCAAAGGAGTCTCAGAGCGGCTTACAGTCTCCTTTCCCTTCCCCTCCCCTCAACAGACACCCTGTGAGGTAGGTGGGGCTGAGAGACCTCTCCCGAGAACTGCTCCTGGAAGAACAGCTCTGAAAGAACTTGTGACTGACCACCCAAGGTCACGCCAGCAGCTGCATGTGCAGGAGTCGGGGATCAAACCCAGTTCTCCCAGATTAGAGTATGTACTCTTAACCACGACACCAAACTGGCTCAGGAGCAGGGCTTTTTTCCTGGGGAAACGTGCTGGAACAGAGTTCCGGAACCTCCTCGACAAAATTATTTTTAAAATATTTTAAAGTTCATGAGTTTAAAGTATACAGGTTGAAAACTTCATCTCCCTCTTGAGAGTTCCGGCACCTCTTTTTCCGCAGGCAGGCAGGCAGGCAGGCAGGCAGGCAGGCAGGCAGGCAGGCAGGCAGGCAGGCAGGCAGGCAAGAAAGAAAGAAAGAAAGAAAGAAAGAAAGAAAGAAAGAAAGAAAGAAAGAAAGAAAGAGCCCTACTCAGGAGTAAGGGGCAGGGTTGATGAGAAGGAAGGGGGGTCTGTGAGGTCTGTCAGACTGAGCCCGTAATATGCTTCTTGTTTGTAGGCTTTCTCCTCAAGAGACTGTCTCACTTGGATCCTCTGGAGAATGGACAGGCTCTGTCCGAGGGCTCCACCTTCACCTATCAGGACGTCCTGGACGAACTGATCGTTTACGTCCCGGAGCGTCCCGGAGCTCGGACTGATGAGTTCAGGTTCTCAGTCACTGACGGCCTCTACACACAGACTGGGCAGGTGGAGTTCTCCATGGAGCAGCTGAGCACAGGTCCGCCCAGACTGGCTGTGAACAGGGGCCTGCAACTATCTGCCGGTACGGAATGAAGGCGGGAGCACACACACGCACACACACGTTTTCTGTGAAATAATACGTTGGGAGATTTATTCTTCCTGTGACATGATATTTCTTTGAAGATGTCATGGCATTACGGCAGGCAGGGAAGGGTAATGATGACTGGGGGACAAGGATTGGGGATACCAAGGTTCAGATCCCCATTCGGCCATGAAGCTGTCTTGGGCCTGGAGGGTTGCCAGGTCTGGGTTGGGAAATACCTGAAGATTTTGGGGGTGGAGCCTGGGGAGGGCGGGGTTTGGGGAGGGGAGGGGCCTCAGTGCCATAGAATCCCCCCTCCAAAGCAGCCATTTTCTCCAGGGGAACTGATCTCTGTCGCCTGGAGATCAGTTCTAATTCATGGAGAACTCCAGGACCCACCTGGAGGCTGGCAACCCTAGAGAAGAGGAAAGCTGGGGTGACGGGTAAGTGTGAGTGCATATAGTTGTCTCTAGCACTCAGTAGGCCCCCAAATACGTTTGGAAGTCCTAGTGCTAGACTCCGCTCCCCGTTGTGGCCCTTCTTCCATGGAACACCCACTCTAAAGAGCAATCCTGTTTTATCTGAACATTAATAATTCCTGGATATTTCTGAGTAAATGGGACTGCAGTGGGGTCTGTGACTTCTGGAATGACTCAGCAAAAAGGGATCACAGGTCTTGAGTGCTTTCTTTGACCAACCAGGCTCCGTGGCCGTCATCACAGACCAGCACTTAAAAGCTACCGGCCCCGACTCTGACGACACGTCTATCAGCTACATCCTGAACAAGGATCCTAACCTTGGACGCCTGCGCCTGAATCAGAGGGGTTCCCAGGTTCCAGTCTCTGCTCATGGTCCAGTCAAAAGCTTCACACAGGCTGAGATAAATAAAGGCGAGTGCTTTGGGATGCAGTGTGTAGAGCAGGGGTCCCCAACGTGGTGGCCACCATGGTGCTTGCCGACACTTTTTCTGGTGCCCTCCGAGTGTTTTGAGGGAGAGGGTGGGGCCAGGTAGTGCTTTTGTCTCTCAAATAGTCTGATTGACTATTAAAGATTCGATCGGCTGTGCCGTTGTTGTTTTTTAAATGTCACTTTACCAGCAGTAGCCACCACAGCGCAAGGGTCTACACTGTGTTACTGGAGTTAAGCAACGGCAATCATTTTGTGGGTGGCTCCGCCTCCTGGGACAGCCATTTTGTTGCATCAGCCAAGCTGTGTCAGGATTCCAAATGTGCCTGCAGGCTCAACGAGGTTAGGGAGATAGAGCGGACGTATGCAGATGTTTCTGGTGCTCTTGATGCAAAGCTAGGAATATATATGGTACTTGATAATCTTTAGAAGAAATGCAGGAAGTGATAAATCAGGCTTTGGTGTAGTGGTTAAGTGCGCGGTTTGGTGTAGTGGTTAAGTGAGCGGACTCTAATCTGGGAGAACCGGGTGTGATTCCCCATTCCTCCACTCGCGGCTGCTGGATGACCTTGGGCAAGCCATAGTTCTGGCACAGCTGTCCTTGAAAAAGAGCCATTTCTGTCAGAGCTCTCTCAGCCCCACCTACCTCACAGGGTGTCTGTTGTGGGGAAGGGAAGGGAAAGGGGTTTGTAAGCCGCTCTGAGACACCTTTGGATAGTGAAAGGAGGTATAAATCCAATCTCTTCTTCTTCTTCTACCTCGCAGGGTGTCTGTGGTGGGAAGGGGAAGGGAAAGGAGTTTGTAAGCTGCTCTGAGACTCCCTTGGGTAGTGAAGGGCGGGGTATCAATCCAATCTTCTCTTCTTCATTCTTTTACCTCACAGGGTGTCTGTTGTGGGGAGGGGAAGGGAAAAGAGTTTGTAAGCTGCTCTGAGACTCTGAGTGAAGGACGGGGTATAAATCTAATCTCTTCTCTTTTTCTATGGCAAGGGTAAGATAAAGAGTTATTTATAGGCAGTAGTTGGAGAGGTTAGAAGAACCAAGTAGGGGAAAGAGGTCAGCTGAAAAGGAGCCAGCAGTGAGCCCAGAATTATCCTGAAAGGCGGGCCTGAACATATTTATTGCTTTCCAGAGTCAGCCAGTGCCAGCGAGTCAGGAGAGGGGTGCGTGTGTTGCATGCACAGAGTCCAATAATGTTGCTAAATAAGCGGGGCATTCAGCAGGTCAGGGGATTCCGAGCATCGTGAAGAGCAGTGATGACTTTCACTGAGCCAGCACATAAAAGCTCTTAGGGACTAACCAGTCTTGTGGACACTGGCCTTCCCAGTGATCATGACCTAGTCGAATTTAAAGTGCATGCACCACCTACTCCCTGATGAACCTGACCGACCAGTACGGTCATCTTCTGAGGTCCTGCCTCGGGTGCCCCCGCCTTCTCAGATTAGGTGGGTAGCCACTCAGGAGAGGGGCCTTCTCAGTTGTGGCACCAAAGCTCTGGAACTCTCCTCCCAATGGAGATTTGTTTGTCTCCTTCCGTTGCTGCCTCTGGCCCACGGGTGAAGACTTTCTTTGTTCTGTTAGGCATTTCCTCGGTGAGCTCTCTTTCCTGACCAGTGTTTTAATTGCTGTTTTTGTCTTTGTACCTATGTTAACAGCTTTTAATTGTTTTAATGATGTGTGTTTGGGGGGGGGGAGTCAATTTGAAAGGTTTTTAAATGTGATTTTGTCATATGTGTTTTCAATCATTAGCCAGCTTGGCGGTCCTTGTGAGGGCAAAAGGATGGGATACAAATGTTGTCAATAAATAGATATATAAATAAACAGGGCTATTTTTGGGCAGGAACGCACAGGAACGGAGTTCCGGCTGGCTCCCAAGTTGGCCGCACCCAGCAGGAACTTATTAGCATAACAGGCCACACCCAACAGCAGAAACTCATTAGGATTGGCTACATTAGGGGTGTGTGGCCTAACATGCAAAGAGGGTCCTGCTGCAGAAAGAGCCCTGGGTTTTGACAACAAACAAGGTAAACAGAATAAGAAGCAAAAGGTGGGTGTGGCTGGATGAGCACACTTCTGGTAACATGGGGTGTGTGGCCTACTGTGCCAGTTTGGGGTAGTGGTTAAGTGCGCGGACTCTAATCTGGGAGAACCGGGTTTGATTCCCCACTCCTCCACTTGCAGCTGCTGATGTGACCTTGGGTCAGTCACAAGCTCTGGCACAGCTGTCCTTGAAAAAGAGCAGTTTGTGTCAGAGCTCTCTCAGCCCCACCCACCTCACAGGGTGTCTGTTGTGGGGAGGGGAAGGGAAAGGAGTTTGTAAGCCGCTCTGAGACTCCTTTGGGTAGTGAAGGGCGGGGTATAAATCCAATCTCTTCTTCTTCTCTTCTTCTTCTAATGAGCCACGCTGTCGGGGTGTGGCTGGATATGCTAATGAGTTTCTGTTGTTGGGTGTGGCCTATTATGCTAGTGAGTTCCTACTGGGCTTTTTCTACAAAAAAAGCCCTAATAAATAAATATAGAAAGGGCAGTGACCCAAATGTGCTGCTCTAGTAGAGCAGGACAGCTATGAAGTATTACACCTCTCCTTTCCCTTCTGCCTCAACTCTACAGGACAGGTGGAGTACAGTCACGAGAAAGGGGAGCGCGGTGGGATGTTTGCTTTCGTTTTTGATCTGGCCGATGCAGAAGGAAACAAAATGGTCAACCAGTCATTTTCTATTAACGTCGTAGGTAAGGTCAAAGATCCTGCCATGCCGTTTTTTTCTTTTGGCAAGGAAGGAAATCTGGTGTAGTGGTTAAGAGCGTGGACTCTGATCTGAGAGAACTGCGTTTGATTCCCCACTCCTTCACATGGAGGATTCCAACTGGGTTTGATATTCCCCACTCCTCCACCTGCAGCTGCTGGGTGACCTTGGGTCAGTCACAAGTCCTTTCAGAGCCGTTCTCTCAAGGGCAGTTCTCGAGAGAGCTCTCTCGGCCCCACCTACCTCACAGGGTGTCTGCTGTGGGGAGGGAAAGGGAAGGAGATTGTAAGCCGCTCTGAGACTCCTTTGGGTAGTGAAGGGCGGGGTATAAATCCAATCTCCATCTCCACCTCTTCTTCTTAAGAACATAAGAACATAAGAGATGCCAATGTTAGATCAGGCCAAAGGCCCATCCAGTCCAACACTCTGTATCACACAGTGGCCAGAAATACCAGTGCCATCAGGAGGTCCACCAGTGGGGCCAGGACCTTCTTCCTCCTCGTCTAACTGGAAACCAGGAAATTGTGGCCAATATTTGGGCTACGGAACATGATTTGTACAAAAAACCATGATCATCAGTAGGTTGATCAGGCAGGGAGTATACCAGAGTTTTGATTTGACTGTCCTAATGTTCAAGTGCACCCAGAGTAACATATCCCCATCATCCTAACAGTTGTTAATTTCCTTACTCTATGTTAATTTACACGAAGCTGTGTAGAGTGAACCATGAAAACCTCTTCCTGAGGATCATGGAACAGAGTGGGTGTGGCATGGAGTAAAGTGCAGCAAGAAGGGGGGACTAAGCAGAAATCCCCCCCCCCAAAAAAAACACCAAGTTGGTTTGCAAGTTATTCCATTCTTAGAAGACATCGCACAAAACCGAAAGGAGATAATTCTCCTCTGACCTGCAGTTCCACCCTGTGGGCCTCCCAGTCCTTTTTGGAGAGCTGCAGGAGGAAAGGAAAGCAGACTTCCATGAGTTTCCCTGGGTAGAATGGAACTTCCTGGGCCTGCGTCCTTCCACTGCAGCCCACTGATCTCCCCAAAATGCTGCTCCTGGGAGGAGAGGGGACCCTGAGGAATGACATGGTGGGGCGGGTTCTGCAGCAGGAAGAGTGGCGGAAACTGCCAATTTCCTCTGGATCCAGCCGATTCATTTCACAGTTCACTCTCTTCAACCCATCGTCCTTTAAAAAAAAAAAAAATCTGTCAACACTTTTATTCATTACACTGCATTTTAAAGAGTTCCACGGTTGAATTGTGCAGTCTTAGGGAAAAGACAGATAATTGGTTTTCTGATGTGTAATCCACTGTTCAAGAATATCCAGCCTTCCACAGTATGTGTGGCAACAGCTTAAGAAAAATCAGTCACCAAAAAATCAATAGGTTTAAAAATATATTCTTAGGGTTGCCAGACCCCTGCTGGGGGGTGGAGGAACCCCAGCTTTTGCGGGGTGCTTCCCCACCACCGGGGAAATGGCGCCCCCAACTGGCCCACAAAGCAACATGATGTCATCAGCGTGATGTCATCACCTGGAAGTGACAGCGTCACATCGTATGGCGATGCTCTCGTTTCGGGAGAAAACTGCATGGTAAAACTGCCTACAAATCATAGGCAAAAGTAAAGGTTTCCCTTGCTCGAAAGCCAGTCAAATCCGACTCCAGGGATGCGGTGCTCATCTCCGTTTCCAAGCCGAAGAGTCAGCGCTGTCCGAAGATGTTTCCATGGTCATGTGGCCGGCATGACTAGACACCGAGGCGCGCGGAACGCTGTTACCTTCCCACCGAAGCGGTACCTATTTATCTACTTGCAATTTCTTGCTTTCAAACTGCTAGGTTGGCAAGAGCTGGGGCCAGAGACAGGAGCTCACTCCGTCACGCGGCACTCGGATCTCGAACTGCCGAACTACAGACCTTCCCGTCTGCAGCTCAGTGTCTTAACCTCTGAGCCACCGCGTCAAACCATAGAGTTTCGCTCAAAAACTAGGGCATCACCCTCCCCATGGCAACCCTAAATATTCTATACATACACGAATTTAGAATATCCATGTATGTCTAGAAGACTGACAGAGGGGAAAACCCAGTGATGGGAGCAAGAGAGAGAGAAAGAGAGCAGAGCTAGCTGTCTTTTCCTACAAATTCTTTTTTCCCCCCCTTTCCATCATTCTCCAGAGGACCAGCTGCCCCCCTCTGTCACTGTCAATACTGGACTCTCCCTGGATGAAAACTCGGTGAAGAAGATCACCACCCTTGAGTTGTCTGCCACAGATCAGGACAGTGAGTCGACGGACCTCCTGTACAAGATCATCAAACAGCCGCAGCTGGGACACCTGGAGCACTCTGCATCGCCAGGTTTGCACACGTTCAGTTTTTTTGGCACAAAGCGAAAAGTGAAGACAAGGCTTCCAAGCTCATTGGAGTCCAAGGAACCGGACGGTTTTGGCCACATGCCGTAAAAATCCTATCGCTCTTCCTGGGAGTAAACCGTGTGATCTGGTGGGTGTAATATTGAGCTTGCGTGTATCCAGCCATGCAGTTTCTTTTGTGGAAGAGGGTGCAGTGATTCCCCCTAATGTCCCCCTTGCAACTCCAAAACCTCAGTTTGCCTTCTGTGATAGGGTTGCCAGGTCCCATTTTCTTCCTGGCGAGAGGATTTGGGGGGCATGCCAGGAGGGGACAATGCAAGTACACACATCCCCCACTCTTTTCAAATGGGGCAGCGGAGGACTGTTGGGGGTGGGGCTTCCCCCCCCCCCCACTGGCCAGCTGGCCGGTGTCTGGGAGAAGAGAAAAAGTCGGGGGACACCCCCACCCCCACCTGGCGACTGGCAACCCTACTCTATGCTGTTCCCGAGGGTCTGCTCCCCCCCTCCCCAAAACACAATTTCAGGGGGCTTAGTAGGTGGCAGTAGAAGGGGGATGTGGGAAGGTTCGTCTCTGCAAAATCCACAGACGGTTGGATACACACCCCTGTCTCTAATCTTCAGCTCCCTCTCTGTGCAGTGGCCGTATCTGTAAAACAGACACGACACATTGCAGTATTATTGTGAAGAAAAACGATGGAAGGCTAGAGACGCTGGCAATCCCAAAGGATCACTGGGGTAGGAGCGGAGGCCTTGAAAGTCACTCCCTGCTTTGAAACAGGAAGTGGCGTCATGCCCTGACCAGGATAGCCCAGGCGAGCCCGATCTCGATAGATCTCGGAAGTTAAGCAGCATCGACTCTGGCAAGTCCTTGGATGGGAGACCTCCTTGGAATGCCAGCAGTGAGGAGGCGGGGGCAGGCTTTATTCAGCCACCTCTCTGAATATCCTCCAGGCCCCCAGTAGGGGTCAGTCACCAGAAGTCAGCGTGACTTCCAGGTGCACGCACACTCACACACACATGAGCATATGAAAAAAATAAGGAAGTGACGTCATGTCACTAGGAGATAGGGAGGAAAGGGGCATGGTCTAGCCTGATCTCGTCAGATCTCGGAAGCGAAGCAGAGTCGGTACTTGGATGGGAGACCGCCGAGGAAGACTCTGCAGAAGAAGGCAACAGCAAACCACTTCTGTTTCTCGCTTGAAAGCCCCTTGCTGGGGTCGCCATAAGCAGGCTGTGACTTGATGGCACTTTATACACACACAAGTGGGACATAGGGAAGTCTAGGTGGGGCAGAGTCAACGTGGAAGTTGTATTGGTCATGCCCTGTTGAAATAAATGAGCGGTGTTACACTTTTGTGCAAAGGAAACTTGCTCAGAATGACCGTCTGGTGTGTTGCTCCCCAGGGCAGCCTTGTGGGGGGAGGCTGTTTGGGTTTTCTGCCTCAAGTACCAAAATTCGCACTCCGGTTATGCAAATGCAATTCGATCTTCACTCTTTGTAAAAACTGCCACCAGACTATTAGCCCACAACAGGGACTTTCCAGGGACACTTTTGTGCAGCTTACGCCCCCCGAAAGATTCAACTTTTTTTTTAGAAAGAGGGTTTCTAGTCCACACGATTGTTGTACATATTAGATTCCATGTCAAAAATGAAGTCAAATGAGGAGGAAGTTCTTGTATTTTATTGCAATGAAATACGGAAAACAGTTAGGCCAAAGGACCCATCAAAGCTGACTGCTTTCTGAGCCCAATCAGGAAATACATGAAGTTAAATACTTAATATGACATCATCATATCATCATCATGAGAATAATATTAAGAAGGCATAATTGGTTACAAAAACTTAAACAACATTTACATAAAAATCTCCTTATTGGTCAAATTAAAGAAAGGTGTGTCTATGCAATAGTGTCACATATTTACTTGACCTGACCTAAGTCATATCGGCTAAAGCTTGTTCTTACCCAAACAAAGGTGTTTTTCTCTAAAACCAAGTAAAAGATCCTTTTGACCCAGACACTATGAAGTTGTAACCTAAACAATTAGAACCATGAACCTTCTACCTTCTTTTGTGCCAAAAGAATGTTATTTTCTTGTCTGTTAACCTCAGCTGGAAAAATACCCTGACCCACAAAGAAGAGAGGCCTCCTATATACCAGGCCATTACCTTTCAATAAAATGTTAAATCTATAATAACCTATAAAAACCAGAGAAATATGAATAATCACAAAAGGGGAAAATCTTTATAGTTCCATCACTACTACACGATTATGAATGCTGCTTTTCCTTTGCTTGCTGTTATTCTGGATCTCGCCCCCCCCCCCCCCCCCCACTCTAGGCAGAAGGATTAGCTCCTTCAGACAGGCGGACCTCATTTCCCGCAGCGTACAGTACATCCATACCAGCGAGGCTGAGAAACATTTGGACTCCTTTACTTTCTCGGTTTCTGATGGCACACACGAGGTGAGCAGGTTTTTTTTCCTTAGGTGGACTTCTTCCGTGAAAAAGCTGCATCAGATGGGATATGTTTGCTCGTTTCCCCTTTCGTTTCTTTCCCCTGATAGGTGAGCCAGACCTTTGACATCAACATCAATCCTGTGGATGACTCTTTACCCATCGTGCAGAGCCCCGGAATGAGGGTCCAGGAAGGTGTCAGGAAAACCATCACAGAGTTCGAGCTGAAAGCCACAGATGCTGACACGGAGGTAAGGAACGAAGTCCCCTTCATAGGGTTCCAGCGTTCAGACCTACAAAATAGCATTTTAATAAATAAAAGCTTACTTTGTAGGTTTGGAAGCTGGAGCCCTTTCATTTTATTGTGTTGAAATATTTTATCCTGCTTTTCAGGTTGTTTTTGTTGAAATTACCAACATATTATTCAGACAATAAAAGGCAGAACTAATCATAGAAAGCCCTGTGTAGTGGTGTAGCTTCCCCAGGAGGCACGGGCTGGGGTCCAGCAGAGCAGGTCACGGGCAAGTTTGCAGAGAGTAACCAAAGTGCAGTCCAGAAGTCGGGGGTTTCAGAGAGCAGGTTTACCAATGTCCAGTCTATTATCAAGGAGTTCCGGGCAGCAAGTCCAAGTCCAGTACGAGGTCAGGGGTTCCAGAAAAGCCAGTTGTCAGGTCCAGTCCAAGGCTCAAGGTTGCAGAGGTCCAGTAGCAGCAAGGCTGGTTGCTTAGTAGCAGACTGTCCTTATTGCATCCACAAAATACTGCTTCTCCCAGCTAAATTTATAGCCAAGTCTTAACGAGCCAAACTCCCAGCCAGTTCCTTGGCAGTCATCCTGAAAGAAGTCATTCGTCTCTTCCATTGAGAACTGATGATGGGCAATGAGTCTCGCACTTCTTCTCCTTTCTTGCAGCTCTAAGAGTCTCTCACAGCGTTGGCGCTGCAAGGGTGTGGGTGAGCCAGGTGGGCTGGGAGTGGCTGCTGAAGACTTGTTTACTGCTTCAGAGCTTCAAGGGGTTGGCTCGGTTTCATCTGTAGGCTGTGACTCCTGATCAGCCGGTAACCTGATCTCTTGTGGTTCTGGTTCAGAGCCAGCTGCCGCTGGCTGTTCAGTTACCGGCTGAGGGCTAGCAGGTAGCTCTTCATCTGAAAAATCTGAGCCATCATTCAGCACAGACTGACTTACGACACCCTGATCTGGATGGCCCAGGCTAGCTAAGCAGGGTTGGCTTTGGTTAGTGCTTGGATGGGAGCAGGGATCGTTTAGTAGAAAAAAAGCTAGGGGAACTCATTAGCATAACTCATTAGCATATGCCACACCCCCTGACATCAGGGGCCCGGCGGTGGACCTGCAAGGCCAGCGGGAGTGCGAGGAAGCCCCGCGAAGGCCCTCCCTGGCCCCAGGCAGGCAGGGGTGGGGAGAGGCGGGGAGGAAGCAACTTACCCTCCCTCTTCTCCTGCCTCCTCCTGGCTGAATGAGGGCTGGAAGCGGGGCGGCCGGAAGCAGGGGGCGGGGCTTCGTCGTGTGCCCTGTCCCCTCACACCTAACCCGGGGGAACTGCGATCCCCCGCGATCCCCCCCGAAATGACCTCTGGATGGGAGACTACCAGGGAAGTCCAGGATTGTGACGCAGAGGCAGGCAATGGAAAACCACCTCTGTTTGTCTCTTATCTTGAAAACTATATGGGTTCACCACAAATCGACTGCGATCTTAAAATTAAAAGTTAAAGCCGGATCTTAAAATTAAAAGTTAAAGCCGGATAAATGCCACGGCAGTCAGATTCATTTAAAAGCACAATGAGTGTAAGAATGCAGTTTAACAAGCCTGAATCCAAATGTCATCTTCCAGCAATCAGAATTACTTCTGCAAGTGCCCTGACCTGGGTAGCCCAGGCAAGCCCGATCTCATCAAATCTCAGAAGCTAAGCAGAGCCGACTCTGGCAAGTCCTTGGATGGGAGACCTCCTTGGAATACCAGTAGTCGGAAGGTGGGGGCAGGCTTTATCCTCCAGGCCCCCAGTAGGGGTCAGAGGTCGCCAGAGGTCACCATGACTTCCAGGTGCACACACACTCACATGCATACACATGCAGATATGAAAAATACAAAAAAAATAAAAAAGAATTATTTCTGCTGGTGGAGTGGAAATTTCCCACCATTTATCTCCCAACTGCAGTCCAGTGAATTCACCAAGACGCTGCTTCTGGAGGTCAGGGAATTCCTCAGGATCGTTGTGCCGGGGGTGGGGGTGGGGAATGGGATTCTGCAACTGGGAGTGTGGAACTGGCAGACATCATGCCACTTCTTGTGGAAAACAATGGATTTCACAGCCTGATAGATCAGACCATCTCCACTAGTATTATTTTTCCAAGGCTCTGGGAACTTGCAAGCAAGGCATGAAGATCACAGCTTTCTCTTGCTGCGTGCCCTACAATCTCCAAGAATGTTGAGAGTGCAGCTCTTTTTCCGTCCTACTGTAGCCCTTCTCACAAGTCCCTTTCTGGTGTGATAGGCCAAGTCAATCACATTCACCATTGTACAGCCCCCGCGCCACGGCCTGATCGAGCGTACCAGTGACGGGCGCCATTATCGTCCGACCCACGCGTTCACGATGGAGGACGTCTACCAGAACCGGATCAGTTACAGCCACGATGGCAGCAACTCGCTGGACGATCGCTTCACCTTCACTACATCCGATGGCACCAATCCTTTCTTTGTCGTGGAGGAGGATGGGAAAGAGGTTGGTAGTGGGAAAAAATAATACAGTGACGGTTTTACGCTCCAGCCAGAGCCAATCAACATGTGCAGCAGAGTGACAGGATGCAGCTTCTTCTGGACGGGAATTCTTCGGGATAAGAGATGGAGATTTTAAATGCTTCTCCATGTAATTACAGTCTCCTCCTTCATAGAAAGGTATTCAGGTGGGTAGTCACGTTGGTGTGCAATAGAAGAGCAGGATTTGAGTCCAGTAGTGCCTTAAAGACTAACAAAGTTTTTCGAAGGTATAAGCTTTCAAGAGTCAAAGCTCTGATGAAGGGAGCTTTGGCTCTCGAAAGCTTATACCTTGGAAAAACTTTGTTGGTCTTTAGTGCTCACTAATCACACTCTTAGGGCTGCGGTGGCTCAAGTGGTTAAGACGCTGAACAGCAAACCAAAAGATCGGTAGTTCAGCAGTTCAAGACTCAAGTGCCGTGTGACGGAGTGAGCTCCCGTCTCTGGCCCCAGCTCCTGCCAGCCTAGCCATTCGAAAGCAAGAAACTGCAAGTAGATAAATAGGTACCGCTTTGGTGGGAAGGTAACAGTGCTCTGTGTGCCTTGCCACATGACCACGGAAATGTCTTCGGACAGTGCTGGCTCTTCGGCTTGGAAACGGAGATGAGCACCACACCCCTAGAGTCAGATTCGGCTGGCTTTCGAGCAAGGGGAAACCTTTACCTAATCACACTCTTATTGAAAGCTGGAAAAGTGAATGAGTCCAGTACCACCTTAAAGGCTAACAAAATTTGTGGTAGGGTATGAGCTGTCATGAGTCACTGCTCACTTCTTCAGATCCCCATATCTGAAGAAGTGAGCAGTGACTCATGAAAGCTCATACCCTACCATGATCCAGCATCAATGGTGAGGATGAGACATTGACTGCAAATCATAGACACCAATGCCTTTCTTTTTATGGTTATCTTCTCAGGTTGTGACTGCCGTGCCCCAGTGGTTCAGTGTGGAAATCCTTCCTGTGGACGATGGAACCCCAAGAATCGTCACTAACTTGGGCCTCCAGTGGCTGGAATACATGGATGGCAAGGTAGAGTTCTACATTGGATTTGTTTTAAACTGTGAGCCAATTTGGTGTAGTTGGAGAATCAGGTTTGATTCCCCACTTGCACCTGCTGGATGACCTTGAGCAAGCCATAGTTCTGGCACAGCTGTTCTTGAAAAAGAGCAGTTTCTGTCAGAGCTCTCTCAGCCCCACCTACCTCACAGGCAATGCTCCCTCTAAGCTGTGGAGTCTTGTGAGCAAAAATTCTACTTTGTGAGCTACTGACATGAAAATTGTGAGTGAGCGATTTGGCTACTGCATAAATTAGTTTGCCCATTTTAACTTCTCTTTATTGGTCTTGCTAAGGTCTGATGGACATTTGCGAGAATGGAACATAATATCGGCAAGTGGTTTTGATAGAGCCAAACAGAAGACATTTGTATCTTGCTCTTAGAATAGCTTATGTGGTGTTCCCGGTTGGCTGACGTTCTGGGAACCATCACATCAATGAGATGCTCCTGGAAAATGAAACAACCGGCACACATGCAAGGATCTTTGATGTGCATACAGATGCTTCATTTTTAGACAGAAGATGCAGTAAAGCAAAGACTGGGGAGCTTCCGCTTGTATGGAGCTTCTGGGTACGGAGATCTGGGTACATGTCAGCTCTTCCTCACAAAATCTGGGATGGACTCTGTGATTATTGAAACAGAGCTGAGGTTTTGAACTTGAGGGATCAGGGATGAAGAGCAGATCCTCTTTGTCCCAAGCCCTGGATGTGCCATCTGGGATTAAAATCAGCAGAGCTGCTCCTGGAAGAAATATTCAGAGGACCAAAGAAAAAGCTGCTCCCTCCTGTTCCTGCAGTATCTGTACTTACACTTCCAGTCACTCATAGGCAGGGCTATTTTTGGGCAGGAACGCACAGGAACGGAGTTCTGGCTGGCTGCCAAGTTGGCCACGCCCAGCAGGAAGGTATTAGCATAATAGGCCACACCCAACAGCAGAAACTCATTAGGATTGGCTACATTAGGGGTGTGTGGCCTAACATGCAAAAAAGTTCCTGCTACAAAAAAGCCCTGGGTTTGGACAACAAACAAGGTAAACAGAATAAGAAGCAAAAGGTGGGTGTGGCTGGATGAGCACACGTTTGGTAATGTGGGGGTGTGGCCTAATATGCCAATGAGCTGTGCTGTCAGGGGTGTGGCCTAATAGGCTAATGAGTTCCTGCTGTTGGGTGTGGCCTATTATGCTAATGAGTTCCTGCTGGGCTTTTTCTACAAAAAGAGCCCTGCGATAGGTATGCAGGACTTTCTGCAGAACTGTGGCCTGTCAACCTGATTCTCCGAGGCATGAAATGTATAAATCTCGCTGCGGAGTCCTGGCAAGGAGAAAGCAGGGCTGAAGTAAGAATCCTTTACACAAAAAGGGAGCTCTTGGTGTCGGGTTTTTTTTTTTCCTTCCCAGCCAGCCGGGATGATGAATGGAGCAGGGCAGGGCTGCGTGTTGCATCAGCAGCTGTGGCTAAACCAAACCCATCCATCTTAGACTGCTGTTTGCACAGCTCCCCACCCCGCACTCCACCCGGGCACTCCGTAGACAATCGCGGCCTGATGTCTCACTCTGCTGCTATTGGCATTCGCATTCCTAAAGTGCGTCCGTTGATTAATTGCAGCGATTAATCAAGTAATCCCTCTATCGCCAATTAAAAACCTGTGGGATTCAAGACAGATGGTTCACCCGGAGGCCTCTTGCATGGAAAGGTGCTCTGACGCAGATAGCAGCACCGGCTGTCTCCCAGTGGCGACAAATAGCTTATGGACAATAGGTAGCCTAAGGGATGTTCGCACAGAGTCCTGCATCTGCCTCAGGCCCTGCTTTCTCCCATGAGGGACCACTCTGGATTGGAGTCAGGATAGGGGAGGGGCCGTGGCTCAGTGGCAGAGTCTCTGCTTTGCGTGCAGAAGGTCCGAAGTTCAATCCCCAGCATCTCCAGTTGAAAGGACCAGGCAGTAGGTGGTGTGAAAGACCTCCGCCTGAGACCCTGGAGAGCTACCGCTAGTCTGAAGTTTTATTCAAGTTTTATTCATTGCCTGACGAAGTGTGCATGGACACGAAAGCTCACGCCTTGAATAAAACTCTGCTGGTCTTAAAGGTGCCACTGGACTCTAACTTTGTTCTATTGCTTCAGACCAACACGGCTACCCACCTTGATCTATCGTCTTATGGTTGCCCCAGGCCTTAACTCCTGCTGCTGGTCAGCTGGCCAGCAGGGGACTTACAAGCCTATTGTTGCTAGTGACGCACTGATGTCACTTCTGGTATGCAGCGGAACAGACTTCACCGTGTCGCCAGTGGCACAGGGGATGCTTTGGTATCTGGGCAAAAAATCTATGACAAAAATGGCTTCTACCATAGACTTTTTGCCCAAATGCCAGAGCACCTCCGCACGGCAGGCAGTGCAATGACGTCACTTCCGGTGCATGCCGGCAGTGGTGTCGCTGCGTTACCAGTGGCCTTGGCCTCTCCCCTGCTGCTGGTAAGTCGCCCCGCACTGATTGCCAGGGGGTACCTAGCCACCCTACCTGTGATGGGTCCCACAAATGGCATGGGCAAAGGGGACTTGTGGCACCCCTGGACAGGAGCTGGAGGGTCCATAGGCCTGGCTGTGCTGCTGGGTCAGATCTACTGTCTGCCATTTCCCCACCGCGCTGTGTCCTGCTTCTCAGCAGGTTTGAAGCAAAGCCACACTAAGACCAGGGGTCGTTTCGTAGAAAAGATCTAGGGGGACTCATTAGCATAACTCATTAGCATATGCCACACCCCCTGCCATCATAAGGCCCGGCTGTGGGCCTGCAAGGTCGGCGGGAGTGCGAGGAAGCCCCGCCAAGGCCCTCCCTGGCCCCAGGCAGGCAGGGGTGGGGAGAGGCGGGGAGGAAGCAACTTACCCTCCCTCTTCTCCTGCCTCCTCCTGGCTGAATGAGGGCCGGAAGCAGGGGGCGGCCGGAAGCAGGGGGCGGGGCTTCATCGTGTGCCCCGCCCCCTGCCCCTCACCCGGGGGAACAGCGATCCCCCGGGATCCCCCCGAATCGACCTCTGACTAAGACTGAAGGGGGGCTGCGGTCCAAGTATCAGTCTCATCACATTGACTCCTTTGTGCACTGAGGTGATCTCAGTTCTTGCTTTGGTCCTGACTTACGGTGCACTTTTCATTAATCTTGGGCACCAGAGCTTTGGGACCTGTAATCCAGCTATAGACACTATTCTCTTGAGTCAGAAGGGCAGCTTCCTGGGATTGTAATATAACCAGTAAAAAAAAAGAGAGAATCTGACCAGGAATGTGGAGGGGGGTGGCTTTGGGCCTGTTGCCAGAAGAGTAACGCTCGAGGCTAGTTCCTTTTGCCCTCAGCTGTTATTGTTTTTTTCTTAAAATGTATGCCTTAAATCGATTGGCGGTTTTTATGCTAGGGTCCAGCACTGGAATCCTGCAGAGCCTTCATTCTCAGACCTCAAGAGCCAGTTTAGTGTAGTGGTTTAAGAGCGGCAGACTCTAATCTGGGAGAACCGGGTTTGATTCCCTCACTCCTCCTCCACATGAAGCCTGCTGGGTGACCTTGAGTCAGTCACAAGTTTTCTCAGAGCTGTTCTCTCAAGGGCAGTTCTCGAGAGAGCTCTCTCAGGCCCACCTACCTCACAGGGTGTCTGTTGTGGGGAGGGGAAGGGGAAGGCAATTGTAAGCCGCTCTGAGACTCCTTCGGGTATTGAAGGGCGGGGGTGTATATATCCAACTCTTCTTCTTCTCCCCCATCCCCTCAGCTCTGCCCTGTTTTGAGAGTTTTGATTTGTGTTGGCACTGGCAGTCACATGGCTTCTATTCAGATCACACACACACTTTGGGTTGCCAGCCTCCAGGTGGGGCCTGGAGGTCTCCCAGAATCAAAACTGGTCTCCACACGACAGGGATCAGTTCACTTGGAGATGGTGGCGGCTTTGGAGGGCGGACTGTATGACATTATACCTTGCTGAGGTCCCTCCCCTCCCTAAGTTCAACTCCCCCCCAACCACCAGGATTTTCCCAAAGCAGGGTGGGGGGAGCCAATTTCTTATCTGATACAACAAAGACACCACTAGGTGGAATTAGTACTCAGACCTGGTTTGTTTCCTTTAGGCAATATCATCCAATTAAAAGAACTCTCAGTCAATTAATTATGTGCGTCTCAATTGATTGGCTAATTTCCTAGTACAGATTGAGCAGCATAAGTAACCTAATGTAGGAGCTGCGGTGGCTCAAGTGGTTAAGACGCTGAACTGCAGGCTGTGGAAGGTCGGTAGTTCAGCAGTTCGAGACCCGAGTGTGCCGCATGACGGAGTGAGCTCCCGTCTCTAGTTCCAGCTCCTGCCAACCTAGCAGTTCGAAAGCAAGAAATTGCAAGTAGATAAATAGGTATCACTTCGGTGGGAAGGTAACAGCGTTCCGTGCGCCTTAGTGTTTAGTCATGCCGGCCACATGACCACGGAAACGTCTCCGGACAGCGCTGGCTCTTCGGCTTTGTAACGGAGATGAGCACCGCAACCCTAGAGTCGGACTCGACTGGCTTTCGAGCAAGGGAAACCTTTACCTTTACCTTTAACCTAATGTAACGGATAAAATCTGAATACATTTGCACATGATATAGATAACGTACCAACGCATAGTCATAATGTTGTGGGGCAGGGGATTCTTTATCTTCAGAATAAACGAGGGTCACGTTTTGTAACAGGCGCCACGTTAGCACTTGTGAGACGTCTGAGCTTGGAAATACCTGAAGATCCGAGGGTGGGGTTTAGGGAGAGGAGGGGACTCAGAAGGGCATCGTGCCATGCAGTCCACCCTCCAAAGCAGCCATTCTCTCCAGGAGAAGTGGAATAAAGGTTTTTAGTTAATAAATAAATAATAAACAAATAAGTGATCCGTGTGGTTTGGAGATCAGTTGTCATTTGGGGGATCCCCAGTCCCCACCTGGAGGCTGGCAACCCTAGGTTTGAGGGAAGAATGCCCATTTTCAGACGGCACCTCCTTGCTTCAGTTTTTGTAAAGTGCTTGAATTAAAAAGAATCAACAATTTTATAAAAGTTATCTGCCCGGTTAGCCAGTGGCACCACTTTCCTGTTTCATGAATTTTGATCAGTCCATCTGCCTGATTGATTAATGAAACAATGACACCCTGATTTTGAAACTCTTCTAGTGCTCCAGTTCCCCCCTCCACTTTGTCCAAAGCTCTTCCTTCTTCAGCTTTTCTGCTTGAGCATGCTGGGAAGTGTAGTCATCAGAGACAGGCTTCTTAAACCTTTCCGGGACACGCAGATTGCAAATGAAGCCCACTGGGATAGCTTGCTTCTGTTTCGATACAACCGTAGAACGGGATATTTCAGTTTTCAGGACAAAATGGAGGAATTCATGGTAGCATCTACCTAGGGCGCAAACAAAATATGATGAGAAGATCCATGTGTCCTCCCATTCATGTGTAAAGCAGAGGGTACAGGGGTCTGTTTTCAAAATGGTCCACATGCAGGAGAGGAGCGGATCGTTATCTCACCTCCACTTTGTTTCATAGTATTTGATTATTTGGAGGATTTTTACTCCACCCCTAGTATCAGATCCAGGCAACAAGAAGAAGAAGAAGAAGAAGAGGAGGAGGAGGAGGAGGAGATTGGATTTATACCCCACCCTTCACTACCTGAAGGAGTCTCAGAGGGGCTTACAATCTCCTTTCCCTTCCCCTCCCCACAGCAGACACCCTGTGAGGTAGGTGGGGCTGAGAGCTCTTTCGAGAACTGCTCCTGAGAGAACAGCTCTGAAAGAACTTGTGACTGACCCAAGGTCGCACCAGCTGCTGCACCTGGAGGAGTGGGGAATCAAACCTAGTTCTCCCAGATTAGAGTCCACGCTTTTAACCACTATACCAAACTGGCTCATAAAGCATCAAGGTGCTCCAGTGTAAGATGGGGAGGACCTGGGATTTCATTCCTCTCATGAGGTTAATTTTTGGGTTAAACCCCACCCCCAGCTTTACATGCGAGGGGATGCCTAAGTACATGCAGCTCAGTCCATGACCTCTAGTTCTGCCCTTAGTGGTTCACTTACTTTGGCACCGTTGTCTTCAATCCAGCCAAAAAACCTGATCACCAAGAAAGAACTGTTGACTGTGGATCCTGATACAGAAGACAGACAGCTGATCTACGATATCACAACTGGGCCCAAACATGGCTACGTGGAGAAGAAGCTGCAGCCCGGAACACCTGTGACTTTGTTTACGCAAGGTGCGGAAGGAAAGCTGAAGTACATTGGTTATTTCCGTGCATGTTTCCAGTCTAATCCTGTTCTCCCGTGACATGGGAGTAGCACGCACTTGAAGGGTCATACTGAGATTGCCTCACTCATGAGAGTCTCCCATAGTCATTATCTTCTTTCCACAACACAACAGGCCAGTAATATGTTCAGCAGACTTCAGGTTACTAGGCCATGTCTAATAACTGACAGGAGCTTATGAGGGCAGAGACGTAGGGGGTGGCATCATGTGCACCATCACATCATTTCCAGGAAAATCCAGAAATGGCATCAGACAACTCTAGGAATTATTCGAAATCTATGGTTTTACCATAGAATTTCCAGCGATTCCTAGAGCTACCTGATGTCATTTCTGGGTTCTCCCTGGAGATGATGTCATGACACACATGACACTGAGGCTTTTTTTAATCTCCTGGCAGCAGGCAACAAAGGGCGCTAGCAGGAAACTTGTTGCCATAGAGGGGGCCTGGCAACCGTAAGCAGACTGAGATATAAACTCTGATCTAAGAACTGAAATCGCTGCCTGTGCTTTCATCTGATGGTTCTTTCAAAGCAAATATAAATAAACTAGCTTGGAAACTGGGGACCAGTTTCCAAGCGACAGCAGTCAGGGGTGTTTCATTGTCGTAATGGCAGCTCTTGATTTCTTCTAGCAGTAGGTATTAATTCTAGGCCATACCCACTAACGTTTCAGAACCTAAGTCAACAAAGCTGTTATGCACGGAGGAAATTGCTCTTTTAATTTCTGGAATAGTCCGTTGAAGGGTCTCTTTCTAACAGAGGACGTGAACCTGGGGCTGATCCAATACGTGTTGCATGAGGAGAAGACTCAAGAGACAGAGGACAGTTTTCATTTCCTGGTGAAGGACAGCAGACCCAGCATGGTCACAGACAACATCTTCCATATACAGTGGTCTCTCATCAGTTTTCAGCACACCAGGTAAGCACATTGTCAACCGGCGATGGCTTTCGCCCACCGTTCCTTGCACCCGACAACTGTAAGTCAATGCTCATTATTTTATTTATTTTTATTTATTTTGCGATTTCTATCCCGCCCTACCCAGTGGCTCAGGGCGGCTAACAACAATGTTTAAAATAGTAAAACAATAAAACAATTTTACATATGCAATAAAACTGGTGCTTCAAATCTATACAAATCTATTCATTATACAAAGATGCTCAGCGACTCATATTTGCGGCCCACGATCTTAATAGTGGGAGCGCCCCAACGCAATCAAACTAATCCACCTCCATGGAATCTGGTAGGTGGATGGTACATCGGAGGTGGTATAGCGATGGTGGTGGCGGCGGCTCCTACCCAAAGGCCTGGTGGAAGAGCTCCGTCTTGCAGGCCCTGCGGAACTGCACTAGGTCCCGCAGGGCCCGGATCTCCTCCGGGAGCTCATTCCATCAGGAAGGAGCCGCCACCGAAAACGCCCTAGATCTAGTATGGGCCAACCTCACAGCTCGGGGGGCTGGAACTTCCAGACGATGGAGCATCCCCGATCTCAGTACTCTTGAGGGAACGTACGGGAAGAGACGGTCCCTTAGATAGGCAGGACCCTGGCCATTCAGGGCTTTAAAGGTGAGCACCAGCACTTTGAAGCGGATCCGGTATGCTATAGGCAGCCAGTGCAGCGCTTGCAGCACAGGCCGGATGTGGTCTCGCCTCATGAGGTTAATTAGACTTGTATGCTAAAGATACTAACAGCTGCCGGTCACCTGTGAGTGGTATTGGTTGAGCTATAGCAGCTGTGATGCCACAGAATGTTCACAAACCGCCTGCATGAGATGCTGAAGGACAGGGCAAGGTTCTAAGCAAGAACTGAAAGGGCACTTCGAGTGGAAGAAAATTTTTCTCAGGATCTTAGTAAGACGTTGATCCAAAAGCGAGGACAGAGGTCAAAAGTGTTAAGAAAGCTGTTAGCTGGGAAGCTGAAGTGGAACGCAGGCCAAGGAGGTCAGTAAGATAAAGAACAGGGAGCCCAGATACAATGGGATGACAAACAGAGAAGGGTGATTGGGAGGATGCTTAGAATGTGGACTTTGCTGCCAGGGATTGTAGTGATACCCACAAGTATGGACAACTTTAAAAGGGGGTTAGACAGATTTATGGAGGAGAGGTCCATCAGTGGCTGCCAGCCATGGTGACTGAAAGGAGCTTCCACAATCCAATGCAGTCAACCTCTGAATACCAGTGCCAGGGGGGCAACATCAGGGCAAGGCCTTGGCCTCTATGCACTGTTGTTGGCCCTTCAGAGGAACCGGTTGGCTGCTGTGTGAGACAGGATGCTGGACTCGATGGACCACTGCTCTGATCCAGCAGGGCTCTTCTGGTGTTCTTCTGTTACCTTCTCAACGAAGGACAGGGGAGGTAACTGAGTGGGAGAAAGCAAAGAGGATGAAGTAGAACAGTTGAGAAAAAATATACACATGGCCCATGGACAGGAAGAGCTGATGTTGTTAGGAGGAGGGGAAAGAGACAAGAGCGGAGGGGTCAAACTCATTTGTTACAAGGGCCGGAACTGACATAAATGTCACTTTGTCGGGCTGGGACATGTGTGCCATAAAATGTAATGCCAGGTACCAGTGGCCAAAAATACCAGGTGCCATTAGGAGGTCCACCAGTGGGGCCAGGACACTAGAAGCCTTCACTGGAAGTGAGTCAAGGATACTGAGTTCTCTCTCTCTCTCTCTCTCTCTCTCTCTTTCGCTCTCTCTCTCTCTCTCACTGTCTCTTTCTCTCCGTCTTGACGTCTAGACTCTCTCTCTCTCTCTCTCTCTCTTTCTTTCTCTCTCTCTGTTTCCAGCTACAATGTGAGTGAAAAGGCAGGCTCCGTCAGTGTAACTGTGAAGAGGACTGGGAACCTTAAACAATATGCCATTGTCCTCTGCCGTACCGAGCAGGGAACTGCCACATCCAGCTCGAGCTTAAAGCCAGGAGAACAGGACTACGTGGAGCACGCAGGCCAGGTGGGTTCAGAAAAACAGATTGCGCTGCTCTCCATAGGAGGCTAAGAGGAGATAGCTGAACAGCCAAGATCGCCAGGCAGAAGGGGCTTTGTTAGCCCAATCTCTGTGAAAGATGCGAGAGAGAATGTCGGGAGCTGGCATTCGAGGTTGGCAACTCACACTGTTGGTGGTTTGAGGGCTCTTGCTGTGTGACAGGCCAGGCCGGCTGTAGCTAAATGGAGACTCGGGAGCATGTTCTTCAAGCCTGGGTCCCTACAGTCACTTGCTGGAGCTAAGTGACAGGTCTTGAGCCAGAGCTGCTGGATTTCTGGCTGGAGGCTAGTGCATGAGTTTGAAATGAAGCTGTTAGAAAGTGCTGTTTGGTTGAGGTAAAAAGCTTAGGCTTTGAGTGTACCAGGCGTGAACATAAGAACATAAGAGAAGCCATGTTGGGTCAGGCCAACGAGCCATCCAGCCCAACACTCTGTGTCACACAGTGTCCAAAACCCAGGTGCCATCAGGAGGTTCACCAGTGGGGCAAGAACTCCAGAAGCCCTCCCACTGTTGCCCCCCAAGCCCCAAGAATCCAGAGCCTCACTGCCCCAGACAGAGTGTTCCATCTATACCTTGAGGCTAATAGCCACTCATGGACCTCTACTCCAGCTGTTTATCCAATCCCCTCTTGAAGCTGTCTACTTCCTATGGCAGTGAATTCCACATGTTTGAGTGAAGAAGGACTTCCTTTTATCTGTTCTAAGCCTACTGCTCAGCAGTTTCATTGAGTGCCCACGAGTTCTTGTGTTGTGAGAAAGGGAGAAAAGTACTTATTTTTTTACCTTCCCTATCCCATGCATAATTCTGTAAATGGTGCTAAGCTCTTGAGCCAGAAGCTTCCTGTTGCCAGCCAAACCCAGGGACTGAAGGTGCACACTTGCGTTCGCTTCTGTGCCTGGAAAGTCCTGTGTGATCTGAAAGCACAGACCCAGTTAGCACAGCAGCATGAGTTTCCTGGTGTATCACCCAGAGTCCCTGTCACCTCATTGGTTTGCTTGATATCTCAGGGCAGGTGGGCCTAAATTGGAGGAAGGGTGGGATTGGACTGAGATATGGGGATAAAAGGGCCGCATAGAGTGATTTAAGGGTGGTTAAGTTTTGGAGGGTGGGTTAACCCATGCAGCCCTATGACGATCACCATTCTCGGATGATGCCTTGCTGGTTCTGGAGACGGTACAAAATAAGAATGACATCTTATGGCCCACTACTTCCAGAAGGCCTGCTTATACTCTGTATATATAGATGGTACAAAAGGGGAGGGGCCCAGGGCCGTAGCTACAGTGGGACATCCCGGGGCCGCCACCACCCCTTACTGCCCAGGCCTCCTGCCTTTTCACTGAGTTGGGTGGAGAGAGGGAGAAGAGTCGAGCAGGCTGAATTTGGGGGGAAAAGAGCAAGAAAGAGCCGGGAAGAGCCAGATCTCCATCCAGATCTTCCTCCCTACAGGAAGTGGTGGCGGCTACAAGCATGGACGGCTTCAAAAGGCAATTAGATAAGCATATGGAGCAGAGGTCCATCAGTGGCTATTAGCCACAAGGTATAGATAGGGGCTCTGGGGCAAGTGATGCTCTGTCTTCTTGGTGCTGGGGGGGGGTCAACAGTGGGAGGGCTTCTAATGTCCTGGCCCCACTGGTGGACCTCCTGATGGCACCTGGTATTTCTGGCCACTGTGTGATACAGAGTGTTGGACTAGATGGGCCTTTGGCCTGATCCAACATTGGCGTCTCTTATGCTCTTATGTTCTTATGTTCAGCCCAGTCTCCAAGAATCTGGTGCAACTGTTCTAAAAAGGGAGAGCGTGCATATGCTTGGCTGGCTGGCTGGTTGTCAGGAAGGGCGGGAGTGGGGCTGCTCGCTTAGGGGTGTATGCAGGGGTGCCCCCTGACTTATTTAAAGGCCCTCCCGAATTTAAAAAAATCCTGGCTACGGGCGTGCTTTGTGCTCAGAAGGCCCCAGGTTCAATCCCCGGCATCTCCAGATGAAAGGACCAGGCAGTAGATGATGTAAAAGACCTCTGCTGGAGACCCCGGAGAGCCGCTGCCAGTCTGAGTAGACAGTACTGACCCTGATGGACTGAGAGTCTGATTCAGTATAAGGCAGCTTCGTGTGTTCACGTGTCCTACCGCCGCCACCACACAGGTACAGTTTGACGAGCGGGAGGACACCAAATCCTGCACCATCGCTATCAATGACGACGACGTCTTTGAAAACATGGAGAGCTTCACAGTGGAGCTAAGTATGCCGGCCTACGCCTTGCTGGGGGGGATCACCACCGCCAAAGTCTTCATCAGCGACACCGAAGACGAGCCCACGATACAGTTTGACAAGAAAGTCTACCGCATCAGCGAGAGCGCCGGCGTCCTCTCCGCCCCCATTGAAAGGAAAGGTTTGTCGAATTTGAGCTTACAAGTAGCACATCAGGTAGAACCTTTGCCCATCTGAGTCATGGGCTATCAAATCGCCGCTTAGCCCCTGTTCACACGGTTATTTTTGCAGTAAAATCCTATGCAGGGTCACTCCAGTCTCTGCCCGTTGACTTCAGTGTGCTCGGACTGGAGTCGCTGCGCTGGTTGACATCTGGTGGGTTGGGATCCCTGAGCAGCCAGCACCAGTATTTTCTATCTTGGGTTGACTGGGATTCTTCTGAGAGAAAAAGAGGCACAGAGAGAGGAGGGTAGGGTTATTTTCTCTTGAATGTCTGGGAAGAAGATGATAGTTTGGTTAAGGGCAACTCCGTGCATGCCAAACTTGGTTTGCCAAAGAGCAAGATTTCAGTCCTGTAGCCCCTTGGAGACCAACAAGATTTGGGGGGTGTTAGTCAAGGGTTGTCAACACCAAACGAGAAGGGAGCACTCACTGGAGAAGACCCTGATGCTGGGAAAGACTGAAGGTCAAAGAAGACGGGGACGGCAAAGGATGTGATGGTTAGACAGTGTCGTAGATGCAACGAACATGAAATTGAGCAAACTTCAGAGGACGGCGGAAGACAGGAAGGCCTGGCGTGATCTGGTCCATGGGGTCATGGAGAGTCGGACTCGACTGTGCGACTGAACAACAACAAGTCAAGGGTTACCAATTCTTCATAGTCATGTGACTTTTATTAGTAATTTGAATTTTTTTATATATGTTACTTCCTTGTTGTTATAAATAATTTTAAATGGCTTTCCGGCAGTTTTAAATTGATATGAAACGTTTGTTTACACAATTTTTTCATAGTTTTTTTCAGATTGAGAATGGCGGATAATGTATTTTAGGGAAACCGCACTATTGGTAGTGTTATAATTTACCTAGATTTATGAATTCATTTACGTTTATATTGTCTTGAATATTTGTAAAAAAGTGCCTTACATTTATTTTTCTTTCCCCCTCACTCCTTTTCTCCCCCCCCATACCCTATATACAATTTAAAATTAAAAAATACCTTTAAAAAAGATTTTGGGGAGATAAGGTTTCGATAGTCAAAGCTCACTTCATCAGATACAAGGGATGACGGAGGGAGCTTTGGCTCTCAAAAGCTTATAATCTAAAAACCTTGTTGGTCTCTACGGGGCTACTGCACTCATATCTAGCTGTTCGGCTGCAGACCAAGACAGCTACCCTCTGAGACTATCTGAATTTGCCAGAGTTTCTTGATTTATACAGCTATTAGAATTATCACCCACCTTTACATCTGACCATCCTAAAGGGAGGGAAAAAAGACATATACTTTAATACACTTAAAAAATAAAAATATTTCCTGTGGTTCATTCAGGTGGTTAGCTGTGTTGGTCTGAAGCAATAGAACAAAGTTTGTGTTCAATGACACTTTTAAGACTAGCAAAGTTTAATTCTGGGTATAAGCTTTCGTATCTGATGATGTGTGCATGCACGCAAAAGCTTATACCCAGAATTAAACTTTGTTGGTCTTAAAGGTGCCACTGGACTCAAACTTTGTTCCTGTGGTCCAATTTGGAATAAAGTTTGGTTCTGATCTGAAAAGGCTAAAAACAACAGCACTCATCTTCCGAGAAACCCCTTAGAGAAATAAATCAAGGGTTAAGCTTATGTTTTGCATGTAAGATCCCTAATTCAGTTCTTGGGAGCTCCAGGGGAAGGATTTCAAGTAGCTAAAATCAGAGGGCACTCTAGAGTCTGTTTAGCAGTTCACTGCAGAATGCAGGGTGTCTGGGGCAAACAGACAAACCTTAATTGTAAGGCAGAAAAGGTAGAAAGCTTAACAACCACCTGTATAGCCTAACAAACACATTCCTCTTCAAATTATTGTGCTGTACACACTGAAGACCGGATTGCAGAATCAGGTTCCACTACACATGAGCAACCTTGATCCCATGCATGCGCATGACCACATGGCAAAATTGCTCCAGGATTGGCCTTTTTCTTGGCTCCTGATGCAGTTCTTGGGAATTTCAGATAAAGGATTTCAGGTGGCTAGCTTGGGCAGGGTGTCTGTCTAAAATCAAGGGTAGCATCTTCCAGTCAGAAAAGGTCAACAGGGGAGTATTCAGAACCTAAAAAGGTTAGTCAGGAATAGAAAAGGGCCAACTCTAAAAATCTAATAATAAAATATACAAAAATATATATGTGTGTTTATTCAACATAAATTAAAATAACAAACAAGGGCCCATTCATACCTCATATAAAACTATAAAAACATACAAGGGCTAATAAGATAGACCTAATAAGATAGACCTAATGCGTTTCAGCCTTTACAGGCCTTCCTCAGAGGTCTAATATATACAGAACATATTGGCTGATGTGCAAAAATACATGCAATTCTACATATACAAAATATGGAATAAAGACCAGAAATCAATTGTTCCAAAGTTTAACCACTGGGCAAGGAAAAGAAATACAGAAATACAAATGAAGCCTCCAGTGAAATCACATGTCCAGTGGTACTTCTCTCTGGTCAACTGTATCTATATATCTAATTCCGAAGTCACCCCCTGGTGTGCGGATACTTATTTCCGCACATCGGGGGGACCTGGAGGGGAGGGAGAGTTTTGTGCACACGTGGGGCAGTCCCCAGGTGTGCACAAAAATCAGAAACCCTGTAAAAAATATCGGGGGGATGTTTAAATCCCCCCGAAACTGACAGAGCGTCCCCTGCACATGCGCAGGGAATGCTCTGCAGCCGGCCTCTGCACATGCGCAGGGAACGCTCTGCAGCCGGCCTCCAGCCGCCGCCGCGGAGGGGGGGGAAGAGAGCAGCGAGGGGTGAGCGGCCCTCACTTAGGTGACGGAATGGTGGGGGAAGAGTAGAGAGGGCCGAGAGGAAAGCTGCTCGGCCCTCGCTTCAGTGCCGGGATGGGGGGGGAAGAGAGCAGCGAGGAGCCGGGGGGGGAAGGCAATGGGGGGGAGATCAAGGGGTGGTGGTGGAGCGAGTATCGCGGGTCCGCCCCTTGTATTCATCTAAGGTAGTACAGCCAAATGTTCCAAATGTTCCTTAGGTTAAAACATTTGGCTGTACAACCTTAGATGAGGAAGGCCTGTAAAGGCTGAAACGCATTAGGTCTATCTTATTAGGTCTATCTTATTAGCCCTTGTATGTTTTTATAGTTTTATATGGGGTATGAATGGGCCCTTGTTTGTTATTTTAATTTATGTTGAATAAACACATATATTTTTGTATATTTTATGATTAGATTTTTAGAGTTGGCCCTTTTCTATTCCTGACTAACCTTTTTAGGTTCTGAATTCTAGGTTTAGGTTCAGTTTTTTTCCCTTTTTTCTTCTTTGTCCAACAGGGGAGTATGTCATTAGGTAGAATTCTAAGTATATACTACATTCTCTTTCCGCTCTTCTTCCAAGAAGCTCAGGGCAGCTTACATGTTCTCTGTACCCCCCATTTGAGCTTCACAACAGACCTGTGAGGTAGGTTAGGCTGAGAGTATGACCAGCCCAAGGTTACCCAGTGGGGAGCCCAGTGGAATTTGAACCCAGGATTCCCAAAATTTAGTCCCGCCTACTAATCGTTGCGCCATGCAGGCTCTCAAGAAGGGGGTCTTCTAGAAAAGCCCCCCTTGGATTACAACCTCTTTGCTCGCTGTGTTACAGGAGACTCCAGCAGCATCGTATCTGCAATTTGCTACACGGTCCCCAGAAGCGCCAAAGGGAGCAGTGAACATGCCCTGGAGTCTGGTTCCGATTTTAAGTCCAGAGGAATGTCCAGCGAGAACCGTGTTGTGCTGGGGCCCGGGGTGACCATGACAACCTGTGACGTGAAACTGATTGACGACAGCGTGTACGAAGAAGAGGAAGAATTTGAAATCGCGCTGGCCGACGCATCGGAGAATGCACGCGTTGGGAGCATAGCATCGGCCAAGGTCATGATCAACGGGCCCAACGATGCCTCAACGGTGTCGCTTGGAAATGCCACTTTTACAGTCAGTGAAGATGCAGGTAAGATGTCAAAAGTCTTCCCCTCTCGCTCTGTTCTTAGGCTATTGAAAGGCATTGTGTAGTTTTAAGTCACCTTTGCTAAGCATGTAAAATCCCACTTACACTACAGCGTCAAATGCTTGTGCGTGTGTTCCTTCTTGTAGGAATTATCGAAATCCCGGTGACCAGGCACGGACCTGATCTCTCCACCCCCACCTCGGTGTGGTGTGCCACCCGGACATCAGATCCACCCTCTGCCACTCCAGGGATCGATTACATCCCCAGCTCCAAGAAGGTGGACTTCCGTCCAGGCAGAACCGAAGAGGTACTGGGCTCTGTGTCTTACTTTCCCAGAGTGGTCGGCTTTCTGGGATCAGCTAGATGAGCTCCCTGTTGCTTCCCCCAGTCTGAGCACGGAAAGCATAGCTGCAAAGACACTGCCAAACTATCTTCTCGGCACAGAATCCCGTACAAAATTTAGCATCTGAAGAACCCCCATTTCACTTTGATCAACTGCATCTTCCCGGCCATTCATGTGATGATGTGATGCAAACAACACACTTTAAAATGTGTAAGCAGAGGCTAAGGAAATACCGTGTCCCAGGTAGTTCTTTACCCCTCACTGTGACCAGCAGATGCAGATTACATTATGCAAAATAAGCAAGTATGTGCAAATTTGCCTGATTTGATCATTGACACAGATGGTGGGTTTGTACAGATTGCATCTGAAGTAATAACCTCTGACAACTCACGGTCTGTAATTTCTTTTTTAAAATGAGTTAGTCTGAAATGTATCTCTGGAGTTTCGTAATGCAGAATGCAACAGATAAGTTATACAAATCTGGCATGGAATTTTGGGGGTGGGGGGTTGCCTTCCAGTATATATCTGGCTTCTTCTTTAGTTATCCAAAGCGTCTTCTTCCCAGAAGCCACTTGGCATCTCCAGTAGCTCTATAAACCTGCACAGAGAGTATTTATTTATTTATTTTGTTGGGCTTTCTGTAACACCCTCCCTGCAAAGCGGGCTCAGGGCAGTGCACAACAGATTCATACAAATTCGTACAATAAATTAATACAAAACGTATTTAAAACAGTCTAAAAATACTAATAGAATAAAAGAATAATAGAATAAAAGAATAGATTCTTTTGAACTGTGGTGCTGGAGAAGACTCTTGAGAGTCCCTTGGACTGCAAGAAGATCAAATCAGTCAATCCTAAAAGAAATCAACCCTGACTGTTCCCTGGAAGGCCAGATAATGAAACTGAAGCTCAAATACTTTGGCCATCCAATGAGAAGGGAGCACTCACTGGAGAAGACCCTGATGCTGGGAAAGATTGACGGTCAAAGAAGACGGGGACGGCAAAGGATGAGATGGTTAGACAGTGTCATAGAGACAATGAACATGAAATTGAGCACACTTCAGAGGACGGCGGAAGACAGGAGGGCCTGGCGGGAGCTGGTCCATGGGGTCGCGAAGAGTCGGACTCGACTGTGCGACTGAACAACAACAAAAAATACTAAACCTGCGCACAGAGAAATGATTCCTCAACTGTGCACTACATGAGGGGATGAAGCATGCCTCCAAAGATTAATCCTCTGTATTGGGTACAGCCACCCCCGTTGTTTTCCATAAAGTGCGGGGGCTGTGCAGCATTGTGCCCTCCCTTCTCTCTGCCAATCTAAGGGCAGGGACATGAAGGGAGGGGCAGCCACAGTTCCCTGGTACAGTCTGTACTACAGCTGATGGCTGCAGAGCACTGACTGATAGATAGGCTGGAACAGTGGGCTGAGACAAATAAAATGAATTTCAATAGAGATAAGTGCAAAGTCCTACACTTAGGTACAAAAAAATCAAAGGCACAGATATAGAATGGGAGGGACTTGGCTTGACAGCAGCACATGTGAAAGGGATCTGGGTGTTCTGGTTGATCACAAGCTAAACGTGAGCCTGCAGTGCGATGTGGCTGCGAAGGAAGCGAATGCAATCTTAGGATGCATTGACAGAAGCATTGTGTCCAGATCAAGGGAGGTGGTAGTTCCGCTCTATTCTGCTATGGTCAGGCCTCACCTGGAGTCCTGTGTCCAGTTTTGGGCACCACATTTTAGGAAGGGTGTTGACAAGCTCGAGCATGTCCAGAAGAGGGCAACCAGGATGGTGAGAGGGTTGGAATCCAAGTCTTACGAGGAAAGGCTGAAAGAGTTGGGTATGTTTAGCCTGGGAAAGAGAAGGCTTAGAGGGGACATGATTGCAAGTCTTCAAGTATTTGAAGGGCTGTCATGTAGAAGATGGAGCAGATCTATTCTCTCTTGCTCCGGATTGCAAGACTAGATCTAATGGGTGGAAATTACAAGGGGGTTGTTACCGGCTAAATATCAGGAGAAACTTCCTAACTGTAAGAGTGGTTAAGCAGTGGAACACACTGCCTTGGGAGGTGGTGGATGCTCCTTCGCTGGACGTTTTCAAGCGGAGGCTGGACAACCATCTTTCGGGTATGTTGTAGGTATGTAGGGCTATCTTTCGGCTATGCTCCTGCAGAGTGTAGGGGGTTGGACTAGATGACCTGCAAGGTCCCTTATAACTCTTAACATTCTATGATTCTATGACTAACAGAGCGAAGGACCCCTCCTTCCTGCCAGATCCCAGACTGTAGTATTAGCTGAGCTCCAGCTGCAAGCTGAATGCCTTTCTGTTATTCTGGGGAAACAGATAAAGGTATATAAACATTGAACTATTCTGTATAAGAATGAAGCGTGCCGGCACATGCTCAGTTGCACTCTAGAATAAAAATCATACACTAAATTTGAAAAGTTTGGGAAATCCTGGCACAGCTCAATCGCTGTGTTCCAAGGGTGAGGACCTCCCTGGGAGATTACCTGGTTTGCTGGCAGAAGGTCCCAGTCCTCTCAAATTAATTGAAAGGCCTTTCTCTGCCTGAAAGACTGGAGGGGCTTTGGCTATTCAGAGTAGGCAGTTTGAGCTGGAATGGACCATCGAGTCAGGATAAGGCAGGTTTGTATGGTCACCAGTCCCATAACTCAGTGGTAGGACACCAGTTTCCCGTGCAGAAGTCCCTAGCATCTTTCAGGGAGGGGCCATGGCTCACTGGTAGGACATTTCCTTGACCTACAGAAGTCCTAGATTCAATCCCTGGCACCTTCAGTTCAAAGAATCAGGTAATAGGTGTTGTGTTTCTTCCTGAGACCCTGGAGAGCTGCTGCCATTCTTGAGTAGATGATACTGACCCTGACGGACCAGTCGTCTGATTCAGTATACTTCAGCCTCATGTGTGTAGTCAAGAGTCCACCGGTAGCTAGGTGTTGGGGAAAGACCTTTGTCTGCCTGAGAGTTGGCTTGTCAGAGCAGACAACGCAGAGTTTGATGGAGCTGTGGTTTTGTGCATTTGTATATGTTCATACACCCAAGGCATCTCGTTACCGGAGTGCTTTCGGCTTTTCACTGATTCATCTCTGGATTCAGCAAGAGGTCCTCTCACAACAGCTCTGACCTTGATGGCCCAGGCTAGCCTGATCTCATCAGAGCTCAGAAGCTAAGCAAGATCAGCCCTGGTGAGAAATTGGATGGGAGACCACCAAGGAAGTCCAAGGTTGCTATGCAGAGGCAGGCAATGGCAAAACCACCTCTGGATGTCTCTTGCTTTGAAAACCCTGTGGGGGTAGCCATGTCAGCTGTGGCTTGAAGGCACTTTCCACCAGCACCCCCTCTCATGACGTGTATTGCAAAGGCATTGCTGCTATAGACCTAGGAGAGTTCAGAGACGTAAAGCCATGTGTTTCGTAGGTTTTATGTGTGTTAAGGACACTGATCCATTGTCTTCCTTTTGCCTCTTATTAGTATTGCACGCTGACAATCCTGGATGACGCGCAGTACCCAGTGATCGAAGGAGTGGAAACGTTTGTGGTCTACTTAAGCTCGCCGCAAGGAGCTGAACTGGCCAAACCTTCCCAAGCAGTGGTAGCCATTAATGACACCTTCCAGGACAGTAAGCGAATCAGTGAATCCATACCTAAGTGCAGCCTAGTCCACCTAAGTGCACCACCTCTGAACGTCTCTTGCCTTGAAAGCCCCATGAGTCACTTGTGACTTCATTCTTACCAGGGGTCATTTCGTAGAAAAAGAGGTGCAAGAGCTCATTAGCATAACTCATTAGCATAACTTATTTGCATATGCCACACCCCCTGACGTCACCGGAAGTGAGTCAGAAGGCAACGCCCACCGCTCAGGCGCCACTGGACTGTTTTGGATTGCCTGCTATTTTTTTGGGGGGGGGAGGAACGTGCAGATCTGTCCTCGCAGAGGAGGGAGAGCTTGTACCTGAATAAAACTTGGTCTTAAAGGTGCCACTGGACTGTTTTGGACCGGGGGGCTGGGGGGAGCTCTGCAACTTACCTGGCTGCTTCTTGCTCTGACTGAGGGCTGCTGGGAGCGGGGGGTGGGGCTTGTTTCATGTGCCCGCCCCCTGGGCTCTTTACTGCCGGAGCTCCGCTCCTGTGTGCTCCTGCAGGAAATGACCCCTGATTCTTACTATTGTCATTATTATGATTATAGACCCATTTAGTGTTTCACTCTCTGATAATAAGTGTTGTATTCCTTGTTTCGTCTTCAGTACCAAGTATGCAGTTCAGTAAAGATCTGTACCCTGCAAAAGAGAAGGACGTCATCCTGCACATTCCTATCATCCGTACTGGAGATCTGAGCTACGAGTCCTCTGTCAGGTGTTACACCCAGAGTCAAACAGCAAAAGTCATGGAGGACTTTGAGGAAAGAAGAAATGCTGAGGAGTCGCGTATCACTTTTCTGAAAGGAGATAAAGTAAGGGAACCCTACTTCTAAGCATAAATATATCTCTTCTGGATGTGTGCTGCATGCATCTGATGAAGTGAGCTCTTACCATCTTATGCCAGATTACAGGCTTTTAATGAGCCACTGGACTTCTGCGTATGCTGCATGCATCTGATGAAGTGAGCTCCTACTCACCATCTTATGCCAGAATACAGGCTTTTAATGAGCCACTGGACTTCTGCTTAACTATGCTGGTATAAGTCCTTTCTGCAGTCTGAAATGGTACAGCCCAGACACGCACTTAACATCTCAGTGAAAATTAGGCTCAAATGACCCCCGGCACCTTCTAACATGATGTTTCTTTGGTCAAGACCTTTGGTTTAGATCTGAGTGACCAAGTTAGAGATAAACTCTCAATCTTCTGACCCTGATCACCATAATTCCAGTTATGTTGTCACCATAATTCCAGTTAGCAAAGAATTATTCAGGTAAATTGCACCGACTGGTTTCTAAACCTTAACTGGTGACTTCCTTGGATCTAGGTGAAGAACTGCACCATCTACATTAATGACGACTCTGCGTTTGAACCAGAGGAGAAGTTCCAGGTGTATCTAAGCAGCCCCCGTGGAAACCACTGGAGTGGAGCTACCATTGGGAAGAACAATATGGCTGCCATCATAATCGCCAACGCCGAAGATGGTAAGAGGAAATGGCCAAAGTTGCTGAGCTTGTGGGTGTTTGGAGCCCCCTAAGGCTATAGAGAGTTTCAGCCTTTCCAGATCCAGTGTCCACCTTGAACCCGTCCATCAACACAGGGCCTATTTTTCTTTCTCGGTCACTTGGCTTCTCTTCTGAAGTAACCTAGCCAGGTCTCGTGGACCAATTGCTGGTTCGCCAGTGCCCAGAAACAACCAGTTCAGATTTCCTTCCTCAGTACCCTAACACAATGGGTGGTTGTTTTGTGGCAGTCACTAGGGAAGCAAAATGGCAGCTGCGCCACTTCATCTTAGGTCCGGTAGAAAAGTAGTTGTAGTTCATGAACTTGGAGCCTTCATGTTCAGAGGCCGTATACCTCTGGATACCAGTGTTGGGCATTTTAGGCTTTCATCTTCATATCCTGCTCCTGGTCTTCATGGAAGCCCCTGGCTGCCACAGTGGTGAAACCAGATGTTAAACCAGATGGATATTTGGTCTGTTCCAGCAGGGCTCTTACCAGGGCTATTTTTGGGCAGGAACGCACAGGAACGGAGTTTCGGCTGGCTCCCAAGTTGGCCACGCCCAGCAGGAACTCATTAGCATAATAGGCCACACCCAACAGCAGGAACTCATTAGGATTGGTTTCACCACTGTGGCAGCCAGGGGCTTCCATGAAGACC